AAAATGTACACAAATGTGTATATACATTTTATATGTAGTTCCCTGAATTTCATGGATTCCTGATTTATTGAGCACTTTTTTTTAAATCATTAAGTTCTGTGAATTTCATTTGCAAGACTAAAATGCTACATCTGTGAAGCACCAGTATAAAGTCTGGCACGTACTTGTCTTTGCACCATTACATAAAAGACGCTAGTCATTTCCATGTTTTTGCTGCTTCTGCACTCACACCCTTCCTTCTAGATGTCTCCCCAGGGCTGCTCCTCAGTACTTGACACTTTCTAAACTAAGGAAACTGTTTTCCTTATGTAGATGTGGGTGCGAATCTTGAATGTATTGACTCCACAGCCCCCATCCTTACAATCCTCAGGACGGTGTAGTGAATCTTACCTGTCTGAGTAAATCGGTGATTGGATACAGTGATTAAATACTCGTGGTGGTTTCCTCCTTTGGAACCGCAGACGTAGTCCTTTTGATCTTTAATGCTGTGTTCTGGGTTTAATGCACATTGGCTTACAACAGATTAGTGATGTGACTCCAGTGTGGGTGTTTTCAGTACTCCCCCCTAGTCCTGAGAAGAGGATTGCCTCACTTGAGAGCAAGGTATAAATTCAGAAATTCAGCTTTTATTTTCTGATTCCATTTCTCTCCCCCACCCCCACCCCTTTGGGCCTGAACAGACTGCATCCTCGCCATCTTTGGAAGCTGCCGCAGAAACAACCCAGAACCACCCAGAGGAGGAAAGCACAGAAGCCATCGGCGAAGAGTCGGACTCCGTCACCGAGAAGAAGGAAGGAGGGGAGAGCAGTCACTGTGACACCAGCTCAGAGATGCAGCAGATCCTCGCGCGGGTTCGGCAGAACTTCGGCAAAATCAACGTCGTGCCTGAGTTTTCGGGGGATGACCTGGTTCCCCTGGAGATGTCAGATGTCGACGATGAGCTTGAGAGCTCTTCTGCGGAGGAGGAGGAGGAACAGGGGCAGCGGGGCAACAGTGAGGAGGAGCCTTCCCCGGAGGAATCCCAGGAAGAGCATGTGGAGAATGACACCAAGGCAGTAATTAAGGCCCTGGATGAAAAGATCGCCAAATATCAGAAGTTCTTAAACAAAGCCAAAGCGAAAAAGTTTTCAGCAGTCAGGTATTGCGTTTATCTCCTTGTGAATTGTACTTTGCTCCTTTCTTTCCAGGAAACTTGCCATATCGGCGTGATACATTTACTGGGGCGGCGGGGAGGCAGGGGGCTGGGAGTATTGCCCACATTTTTAAAAAATGATGTTATGTTTTAAAACATTCAGCTCCGTAAAACATGAGAAGCTTCATTGTTGTCTTTTAGAAATGCCCAGAGAGCTGCAAAAACCGCTGGGTGACACCTTCTCCCAGCGGAGGTGGCTGTGTGAAGAAGAGTGGGCCGTCTTTCTTCTGCCAGGCTGTCCCTAGTCCGCATGCGACCTGGACAGTGGAGGGGAGTGTGGGACGGCTTCGTGACGTCACTTCTCTGTTTCAGGATATCCAAGGGACTAAGTGAAAAGATTTTTGCAAAATCTGAAGAGCACAGGAGAACAGCTGAAGAAGATGTGGAAGATGCAGGTAGAGTTAAATTATTAGATCATTTAGATGTGATTTGCATCTTTGGGAAATTCAAGCTGACTTTCCAAATTATCTTGCACCGTCATTATCCACACAGTTATTTACACCCAGCAGATTTCTGAGGTTCCACAATCTATTTACTATACAAATTGGATTATCCACTTTTTTTTTAATTATTTTTTTATTAGAGTCTCTTTCCCAAATGATGTAACTGGCAATTTTGAGAAGGGGCCAAGTATCTTATGGACTTGAAGTTCCTTGGAACTTTTTTTTTTTTTTATTTATTTATTTTTAGAGAGGGAAGGGAGGGAGAAAGAGAGAGAGAGAAACATCAATGTGCGGTTGCTGGGGGCTGTGACCTGCAACCCAGGCATGTGCCCTGACTGGGAATCGAACCTGCGATGCTTTGGTTCGCAGCCCACGCTCAATCCACTGAGCTACGCCAGCCAGGGCTAATTATCCACTTTTTATTCTGCACATTTCTTAGGATTAAATTGGTAATTCAGGAAACTTCCTCTTAAACAGTATACATTGTTGATCTTAAAATCTTTGGGCAGATTTTATCTTTTGCAGTGGGCTGGTGGTTCATGCATTTATTTATTTATTTATTTTTACTCCATTGGACTAGTAGCTTCTAAATCAAGGAGGTGTTTTCATGACGCAGCTGCGTGCACTGCCGTGGCCCAGGGGACCCCGCGGCCTGGCACCCTTCCAGCTCTGCTCCACTCTGCGCTTTGCTCGCCGGGTTCCATGCACTCTGGCCTTCCTTCTTCCAGCACATCACGCTCGTTCCCACTTTAGGACTCTTAGACACATTTTGAATAAAAAATTCCTGTTTGTTTTCTGTGTGTGTTCAATGTCTCTAGCACCTGCCAAAAAAGGAAAGAAGAGGAAGGCACACAGGGAAGAGGAGCGCTCGAATAAAGCTCGCAAGACGCTTACATCTAAGGAAGTACGTGCTTTTGGCCTTAAGTATCATCTGGGTGTGGAGAGGAGAGAGGAGGAGCCCCATCCTTAAGCTGTGCTCTTTCTGAAACTTGTGGTCTAGCGTTGAGTTCAAGGGACCCCGGTCCTAAGGAACCCAGTAGAGGACAGTTACATAGGGTCAGGAGTTGACCCAGTGGGTAAAGGTCTTGAGTTCGTGTCTTATGGTTTAGGGGGTCCTGATCAGTGTCCTCAGATGTGGTCTGTGAGGTGGAAGAGTTGTCTGGTTTTATGCGGCCCCAAGGAGATGATAGGCGAGGAACAGAGCTGCTCCTAGGCAGGCAGATCACTGCTCCCTGGACGTTGGCGTTGTAACTGGGCTCTCAGAGCTGCAGTGGGCCGACTGTGGGGGCGAAGAGCATGTTGTCGCAAGTGTTCGGCCTCTGGCCAGGGGACCACACGTCAGGAGTGCGGTAGAAAGGGTCCAGCCCTTGGACGAGGGCTCGGCCAGCCAAGTCTGGAACGTGGTGTTGTCACGAACCACCGTGGGAGGGAGTGCGAACGTGGGTCTGGAAGGTGAGCCCTCCCTCAGGGTCCGCACCGACTGCTCCCGTGGTTGTGGAGGGAGCACAGGAGTGGGGCTCAGAAGTGGGGACCTGCTTTGTGATTTTTCAGAGTTTGAACGGCTCACCTTTTTTTTACAGCGGAGGCGAGCAGAACGGCAGCAAAAATCCAAAAAAGTTGGGGTCCGCTACTATGAAACACACAACGTGAAGAACAAGAACAGGAACAAGAAGAAGACCAGTGACTCGGACGGACAGGCACAGAAACACAAAAAATGCAAGCACAAGCAGTAGCAGTAACGTTTTAAAGGCTGTTTATTAAATTATACAAAAATATGCCATTAGAAACTGCGTTCATTTTCTTCCTGCCCGGTTGGCATTTCTGAGGCCACAGTGCCTTCCTTTGTTTCAAGGTCGACAGCTGAAACCATTCACCAGTGCCAGTGAGGGCACAGCGTCCCCACCCCGCGGGTTTCCCCAGTGGGGTCCGTTGGCGCCTCGACCCTGGAATCGGCCTCTTGGTTCCTCCGGAGTGAAACCCTGTCACTTAAATGTCTGACAGAAGCGGGGACGAGGGCCATAAAATGGAGAGTGCGGTAGTATTTCTTTTGTACTGGCATTAGCAGTGTTTGGACGGAACAGTAAAAAGAACACAGTGTCAAGGATGTAATGCATGTGGCCTAGGCTTTAAAATACAAAGAAAAAAGCGACAGCAGGTTCTGTTATCCTTCGTTGCGTCTGGTAGGCGGATCCAGTCGGGACATGCGTGCCCCGTGTGGAGGGGTCCTGGCAGGAGTCCATCTCCGACCAGCATTCTTGAGCAGACAGGTCCCAGGGAGTCTTAGAATTTCTCGGGACCTGGGATGAGGGTGGAGGCTGTGATTTCAAGTTGCGCGATCGGGGCGCAGCTGTGGGACCGCCGCTCTTCAGGGAGCCTCCGAGCCCCAACCCGCAGGCCGCGGTCCTGCTGTGGAGAGCCCCTCTTCACACCTCTCGGGGCCACACTGAGCACTGGAGAAGCACTCCCACTGGAGAGGGAATGTGCGTTCCTTAGGTGCGTTGCTCGGGAAATGTGAAGGATGGCAGTCCCGTGGCCTGCTGCCCTAGCCCACCCTGGTCTGCCCTGAATTAAAGATTTCTGTCACTCACGGAGTCTTCTAGGTCTACAAAGTCAGCAGAGACCTGAGCCTCCAAACTTTGAGTTTAACTTAAGAGGAACAGTAAAATGCAGTTGCCTGAAGCCTGTCGCCTGGTCATAAACAGTCAGAGCTGCATGTGAGGTTTGGGCACCTCTCCTGTCATTAGACGTAGCTAGTTAGAGGGGTGTTGGCCAAGGGTTCAGTGTCCTGCAGACTGAAACGAACAAACTGGTGTTGGAGGAGGAACTGAGGTACAAGCAGCTGCCACTGGACACTGGGACTTGTCACGCTTTCCAGGAAACATTTATTTTCTTAAAAGCCACGGGTTTGCTGCCATTGCCCCCTTGCCTGGGCTGTCTGAAATGGGAGGAAGGGGTCAGATGGTCCAGTGCAAACCCCATCCTCCAAAGTGAGTTACTAGCATTGAGCTAGAGCAGGGCTGATGAAAAGCCGTCAAAGAAGGGAACGACGGAGGCCAGAGGAGCCCAAATTAATGTACAGGGTGAATTGTGGGCCAGAAATGGGGGGGCAGGAGCAACTGCATTTGGCCAGAAGTGTTAGTATGGGCTGGTGAGCAAGCAGTTGCTTCACCTGAGAGGGATGCAGCAGAAGGGAGTGGATTCTGAGGTTTACTATTTGAGCCAGCAGATCCCAAGGCTGGCCACGTACGGAGACCGTCCAGCCTGCACCACCTTCCACTGCCTGGGCAGGAGCCTGGCTGCCAGACCGAGGTGTTTCCTGACACTGGGGCAGTGACGTGACTTCCGACAAGGACATAGATGGTGATCGGGGGAGGGTATGGCATGTTCCTTCAGGAAACCAGCTTTTTATTACAAAGGTCTTAGGATGGGGTAGTAGCGCTTGTGAGACCCATATGGAAATTATCACTTCTTTGGTGCAATAATGCCTTCCAGTTGGGCCTGAAAAACAAAAACAAACTCCATTAATATTTGAAACTTGCAGCCTAACACAAATAGCTGAGAGGTGATAAAAGTCTCTGGGAAGGATTATCCCATTGCTGCCACTCCAAGCTATTTTTTCCCTTCATTCCCAACTCCATATTTTCTAGATTAGCTGGTTTCTGGCTTGGCACAGAGTCCTGCTACATTAGGAGAAACCAGAGCTGTCCTGGTTTCCATACAATAACGGCTCGGCGCATAACACAAAGCATTGAAAAGGAAATTGAATAAAAGTTGTTGAAATAGTGGTTTTTCATGGCTCAGATTTCAGACCTAAGTATGTCTGCGGAGTTAAACTTTGGGATCCTGGGAGCTCTGTGCTGGGACAAGAGGTTTGGGAAACAGCAAATTTTCAGCCACTGAGACAACTTGACACCCAATTAGAGAAAATTGCTACCAGTGAGGAAGGAGCTGTCCGTCTTGTACGTAAAGCCGAAGACACTTGGGAGTTGTTTGCTCTGCTCCTCTGGCAGCCAGTAACACAGTTCACTACCACGGTATGTGGACAGATCTGTAAGTAGGTCTATCCCGGGGACTGCAAACACTTTTATTTGCAGAGCAGTTTTGAGCCAATACAAATAACTCACTTCTAAAGAGTCCTTCACTCTGGGGATTACAAGGTTGCTTGTAAATGTGAGAAAGATGCCAAGGTATTCCGCTTTGCTCTTGCTGCCAGTGCCATGCTACGGGAGGAACTGGGCTTATGATAAAGGGATATGGCAGATAAGGGGGGCGGTTTCAGAGGCTGCTAAGTAAACAGATGCACATCTGGCGGTGAATGTTTCTAGCTTTTCTTTGTTTTTGTTAAGCTCAGCATCGAGAAAATCTCTCATCCCAAACTAGCTGTTAACACACGCCCTTCTTTATCTCAAGTGCTTCTCTTTCTTGGTCTGTAGTGCCAACAAGCCTGCCAATCGTCTGAATGTAAGCTTCTATGAGACCAGGGAGGAGAGGGAGAAAAATCCAGGGGCCCTTTCCAGCCAGGACCATGGGAGACAGCCACAAAACATCAACAGACCATACATGTATCCAGAACAGTGATTCTCAAACTTGAGCAAACGTCGGAATCACCTGGAGACCTTATTAGGCCAGACTGTTAGACCCCTCACCCAGAAATTTCTGATTCAGTAGATCTGGGGCAGGGCCAGTCATCTGCATTCGTAACAGTTGCCAGGTGATGAGGATGATGCGGGTCTGGACCCCAACCTTTGAGAACCTCTGGACCAGACAGCCTGGAGGGCTAGAGGCCTGGCCCCTGCTCAGCCCTTTCGCCCTCACCACCTTCCTTGCCTTTCCTTCAGCTTGGCTGGATCAAAGTGTACACCCACAAGAGGGCTTTCAGGAAAAACACCTACAACCCAGCTCCTCTGAGCACACAGCCAGGGAAGGTTCCTGATTTTAAAAGGTTCTCGCTCCTAGGGCATTTGCTGCCCACCCCAAATGCAGTGCCTCAGAGGGGTTGACTGCAGGAGGGCGAGCACTCCCGCGCTGCAGAGCTCCCGCCACTCTAGAAGGGCTCCCGATCACCAGCTGCCGTGGGAAGAGGAGTTCCATGTCTTGTCATAGCCCCCTCTCCTGAGGATGAGCAGCTTTTTTTCCAAGGGGAAAAAACCTCCACTGGCGAGCCAGACTGAGGCATCATGGGGCTTCGGAGTTGAGAATAGAGCCCCCTCCAGAACCAGATGGAAGGAGAATCTGGGTAATGAACCTTCCTCTCCCACCCGCCTCGAAAGTCAGCTACCTTTACCCCTGGGCAGCGCAGGTGGGCAAGTATTTAAACTTGCAAGGGTGTCAAACTCATTTTCACTGGGGGCCACATAAGCCTCAAAGTTGCCTGCAAAGGGCCGAATGTAACTGTAGGGCTGTATCAATGTAACTACTCTTTAACAGTTAAGTGAGAGCTCGGCACTGCCGCCAGGTAGAAACAAGGAGCTGGGCCGAATAAAACAAGGTGGAGGGCCAGATTCAGCCCTCGGGCCTTGCGTTTGCCACCTGTGATTTAAAGTCACCCGGAGGAAAAGGAACCCAATGGGTGGCCTGTGCGCCTGGGAGGGCAGGTGGGCCAGCGCCTCCACCTGAGCTCGCGTGACGATTACCTTCAGCTGCTGATTCGTGCGCTTCAGGAACTGAATCTCCTCGTTGTGCTTCTTCTCCTCCACCTGCCTCCTCTCGCTCTCCCTCTTCTCCGTGGCCTCACATTTTGCCTTCTGCTCATTCACTTGTCTCTCCAAGTCTCTCTTTTCCGCTTCTAATTCTGCAATCTGAGGGCAGAAACCCTAGTCATGCCAGGATGTTACCAACGGGATGGGGTGGCTTGAATGCCTGGGTGGAGGGGACCTGGATGGAACACAGCTGCCCAACCCGACATTGCCAGGATCTGCACTGCCACCCAGTGGGAGGTCAGTGCCTGGCATGCACGTCCAAGAGGAGACAACCCTGCCATGACCAGACTGGCGCTGACACCCTGACCCAAGGGTCCTCACTCAGGTGATGGAGAGCACCCTAGGGGCCAGAATTCAGGGCCAGAATGACAACCACGTGGGCCCGAGACAGAGGAGTCAGAGAGGGCCGAAGGCTCGTGTAAACCCCACTCACTTTCCTCTCCATGTCTGACTTCCCCTGTTCAGCCTGAAGCGCCTTCCTCATGCCAAACGCCACACTGCTCTCATACAGGGTCTGGTAGGCAGCGATGGTCATGCGGATCTCGTCCCGGACTCGCAGCAGCAGCAGCCCCCTCTCCGCACAGTTGATGGTCACCTGACGTATCAGCTCATCTTCCGGCGCACACACACACACAGGGAAGTCAGAAAAGGCCAGGAGGGAGAACGCACCACGCCTGCTGCAAACCACACTTCCTACTGGGAAGGGTGCTAGGGTGTGTCCCCCTCACTTGGAGACAGATCTCGGGGAGGGGCCCTCAGTGGTCCCAGGGGCCTAGCCTTGCAGCCACAGCTCTGAACCTGGCACTTGGGAATAGAGGCAGCCGGCCAGCCCGGGGCAGAGGGAGACGGGAGCCCCAGGTTTGTTTGCAGCACGAGGCCCCTGTCTTCCATCCTCAGCCAAGAACTGGATACTGTTCAAAGAAACCTGACTTTCCAATTTGAAAATGGTGGCTGCTTTAAAGCAGCTGGGAAATCCTATGTGCCTCCTTGGCTGGACTGCTTTGGGGCTGAACAGCCCCATCTAGAGCTTGCCCACCCATCTCCTCCATGAATGCTGACCTGGAAGGCAAACATAATCACACTCAGACCACAGCGTTCCCAGGGCTTGGGGGCAGTTTGCATGTCAGAGCCCATGGGGAATGTGCCCCTGGGCTGGAGGACAGCCAATGCACACGGGCACTCGAGGAGGGAGAGCTGGAGTCCCTGTGTCTGTCAGCTAACAGCACGTCACCCTGAGACAGTTTCTGACCAAGGGCTGAATGTTGATGGGTAGATATAAATATGGAACATACATTTTTCTGATTAAAAAATCGACACATGCTTATTACTGGAATCTTGGAAAAAACAAAGATTTAAAAGGAACGTTCTCGTTTACTGCAAGCATCTGCTAAGGGATGAGGAACCAGGTTGCCAGGCTGACCTGCAACAAACAGGAGGGCAGGGCTGGGAGGGGGAAGAGGGTGCATTTAGCAGACTCCAGGTGAGACAGGTGAGGGGAGACAGATGATTCCAGATGGGGCGGGCTTCAGCTCAAGCATCCTCAGAGCTTGGGGCTGTGCTGAAGGGGAAGGGAAGGAGGCAGCAGAGTGCACTGTCGCCCCACCCTGCAGGCCACTCACCGAAACACTGCGAGTAGAGCTCCCTGCGGACAGGGCAGATGCCAGTCTCCCTGGCCTGCCGCTGCTGCAGCTTCAGGTCCAGCTGCTCCTGGAGGTGCACCACATCCATCCTGGTGCTGGGGGTGCTGGAGACCTGCTGGATCCATAGCTGCGTGTCTTCTACCCACTCCCTGCGGCACAGACACAGCCAGGCTGAGCAAAACCCATTACCAGAGAGAGTGGGGGCTCAGGATGTGAGTAGGGATGGCCCTTTGAGCCCTCTGCCTGAGCAGGAGTGAGGGGCAGCTCAGTCCCCAACCCACCAGAATCCTCTATGCTCCTTCTTCCTTGGGGAGTGTGCAGCTCCAAAGCCACACCCACTGAGCTGCCTCCTCAGGACCCCTATCTTGGGGCAGGGCAACCTCCGCTTTCCTATGACCCTCTGGGAAATCATCACCCATGTTCCAATCTTTCCCTCCTAATGTGTTGAGGACAAATTTATGGTTGTTGCTTGATCTGAACAGAAGGCCCAGTGGGAACTGCCCACTGACTTGTGAGGCGGGAGACACAGGGCACCAGAAACCCTGTGCCAGTCAGAAAGAGGCGAATGTGTGCGTTGGGGGGTGGGGAGGCTCTTGAAGGTGTGTAGGCCCTCAGAGCAAACCTTGTGTCAGGGGAATGGCCATGTTCTGGAATCACAGGGAGGGAGCCTAAGGGCAGACCCACCCTGGGGGAGAGGACTTTCATGCATTGGTGGGAGGTAATCAACAGAAAAATCACTCCCCCCTGTCTTTGATGTCCATCTCCAGTCGAAAAGGCATGTCAGGCAGTGGTAAGGGTGGCTACAGAAGAGAGAAGCAGGGTAAGGGGATCATGAAGGGAGAAAGAAGGTGCCCTTTTCCAAGGATTCTCAAGGCCCCCTTGAAGGGAATGGCATTTAAGCAAGACCTGCGTGAAGAAAGGAAGGGAACCAGGCGGGTATCAGGGGAAGAGCATCCTTGGCAGTAAGAACAGCAGCTGTGCAAGCCCTGAGGTGAAAAGAATGAGGTGTTTCAGAAACAGCAAGCAGACTGAACAAGAAAGAGAATAACAGGAGATAAGATCACGGGGATATTAGGGCCAGATCATGCCAGGTCTTCCAGATCGCTGTATGGACTTGGGGTTTTCATCTGGGTAAGATGGGAAGCCATTAGAGTTTCTAGCAGAAGCTGGTGTGACCTGACTTATGGTTTGGGGGCCGTGTGGAGGAGAAAAGATTGTCAGGGCAAAGAGTGGGAGCCAGGTTTTCAGGTGGGAGGCCGCTGAAGGAGTACAGGTGCCAGACAGGGACTAAGAACGAGATGGTGGAAGCAGAGGTGGTGAACGTGGTCAGATTTGGGATGCGATTTGCAGGTGGGGACAACAGAAATTGGTCAAGGCTAGAACGTGTGGTGTGAACCGCCAAAAGGGATGAAAGGTGGCCTGCACCCCTAGTAGAAAGAGAAGACTGGGGATAAGCAGGTTGGTGAAAGGAGGAAACATCTGTGAGTTAGTTTGGACATGTTGAGTTTGAGATGTCTATCAGCCTCTTCATGAAAGTAATGAGGAAGTAGTAGAATGTATGGGAGTTTAGGGGAGAGGGCAGGGCTGGAAATATACACGTGGGAGCCATCAGCATACAGATGGTATTTGAAGCTATAAGCCTTGGTGAGAGGACTCTGGACACAAGGGTGGACAGGGGACAAGGGAGATCCACCTTCCCAGGACCCAGCCATCTGTAAGTTCTAGGAGCACTGAGGTGCTGGGAGGAAGGAAATCCCAGCCAGCAACAGAGGCAGTATGCCTCTCCCCATGTTCCCAGGTTCTGGGATGCAAAAGTCTGGGCCTTCTTGTCACTACACCTGCTTTGCCTTTTTTTTTTTTTTTTTTACCTTGGGGGTAGGATGGCATTCAAGATTTCTTCTGCCTGCTTTGTAGGGTCTGGGACACTAGCAGTCGAGGGAAGCTTGCTCTTTGGTGGCTGTGGGACTGGACCTGAGGGTCCAGGTTGCTGAGGGCTGATTTTCAATGGCCGAGCCTGTGAGGGGGTAAATCAGGGCAGGAGGTGACCAGACACTAAGCTCCACACATCCTGGCCCTTGCTCCAGGTCTCCCACACCCCTCCCTTATTCCCAGCTCACTTTCCCCACCTGTCTTCTCAGCAGAAGTTATGTCTCAGAGCTAAAGGAGGCCACGAAGGGTCTCTGGCCCCACCCCAAACCAATGATTGTGGCAACCTGAACCGATGTTTTTGGCCCAGGTGCTCAGGCCTGTACTTTCAGTACCATATCTATTCTTGGACGCGGTTACCGTGAAAAACAGTGAGCCGCATTTATCTCCCAGTGATTTCCTGCCCTGTCCTAAATCTGCCCTCTAGAGTCGCCCAACATTTGGGCTTGTTTGTACTGCTTTCCCATCCTCCTTTCCACATCCCAATTCCCTCTGTTCCCATTTGCTTCAGCCTCCATCCCTCGGGACTCTGCATCCTCAGCGCGGACATTTGCCTTTCCCCATTGGAGCTTCTGGGCTCCTTTGCCCACTGTGACTGGTCCTTACTTTGGGGCTCCGTTTCTCCGTGTTCCGGCTCACCAGCACCGGGGTGTCATACTTGAGCAGAGAGTCCGAGGGGGGGATCATGGCGACGGCGAGTAGGTCAGCAGCAGCCCCTCCGGGCAGGGCCCTGTTTACCGTCACTATGGAAACCTCTCGGCCTCGCGTCCTGGGCGGGGCCAGCAGCGCTGGATTTTATTTTTGCGCAGCTTTGGGGAGAAGTTCTTTAGCGTTTATTTTGTCATGCTTCCTGCTCACCATGTCGCTCCTGTACTGTTGGAAGAAAGGAGGATGGGTTTGAGCCCGTGAGACGCGCCTAGCTCGCGATTTTAATGAGGTGACAGACCCCCTTCTCAGACCCCCGATTCTGTAATCTGCAAAGTGGGAGTCATAGAGGAAGGCATCTGGAGTTCCCAGGTTTTAAAAAGTATTTGTTTTTAATCAAGTGGATAAGTGACAAAGTAACAGAAAGTTCAAGAATACGGGGGAACCCAGGCTGGATAGCTCAGTTGGTTAGAGCGTGGTTCCCGTAGGCCACGGTGGGGGGTTCCATCCGGTCAGGGCACAAACAAGAATCAACCAATGAATGTATAAATAAGTGGAATAACAAATCGATGTTTCTCTCTCTCTCAAAAAAATTAATAAATATTTTTTAAATAAAGGGGAAGTACTAAGGATTTGCCCATGATATACCATCTATGATTGCATTTCCTTCCTTCATTCCTTTGAATATCCCTACGTAAATGTAAGCACAGTTTGAGTGCAATTTTGTGTTCTGCTTCTTCTTTTAATGTCAGGTTTTGTGTGTGTGTGTGTGTGTGTGTGTGTGTGTGTGTTTTGTCGTATAGAGTTTGTAGGTAGCACTGGGAATGGCTATATAACATCCATCAATTGCCTAAACAAGTAACGGCTGGGCATTTACGGTATTTTGCTATGTATAATATGCTCCCGTGTATAAGGCACACCCAGGTTTTTGGCCCAAATTTTCAGAGGAAAAAATCTTTCACTTTAATTTTTAAGTTCAATTATTTATTTATTTATATTTAGATACTTGTTTTTTGTATTATAAAGGAATTTTAATATTTATTTTTGAATATAATATAGTACAAGAAATTTCATGCCACAATTAATTACAAAATACAAGAACAGATACAAAGTATTTCAGGTACTACCCACGTATAATGCACATCCATGTTTTTCCCTCAAAAATGTGGGCAAAAAAAGTGTGCGTTATAAATGGCAAAGTACCGTAGACTGTCTCGGTGTTTGGGAATTACTAATGACGTAGCAATAGCCTCGAGCACAGCTGCTTTGCAGAGTTCACTTTTGAAACTTAAAACTCCCGCCACCCGAGCAGCGCCACTACGACCCCGCCCATAATAGAGTCGTAGTCACGTGTCTAGCCTCTGCCTCGCGAGGGTTTCTGGGAGAGCGAGCGTCCCAGAAGCGGAAGTCCAGGGGCCTAACACGTCATTTCCCTTCTACGAGAGGAGCGCAACGGTTGTGTTTTTCCTTTGCTCTGTGGCTATATCAGCATGAAGGAGGTGAAGAGCGAGCGGGAGCGGGGGAGCCGGAGAAGGCACCGGGACGAGGACATAGTGGCCACGGCGGCGGTGGTGGTTAAGCAAGAGCGCCTCAGCCCGGAGGCCTCGCCCCCGGTTCACCGCCGCCCGGACTGCTCCCGCGGTAGCTCGTCCCCGCCTGCCGGCGATCCAGGCCGCCCTAGTCACCGCGGGACCCGAGCCCGAGGACACAGTCGGTAAGTGGGAAGCAGCCGGGTTGGACCTTCAGCCCTGCTCATTGAGAAAGGAGGGCAAGGCTAGCTTTGGAAACACATCTTGAATGCCGAACGCGGCGGCTTGGACTGCATCCTAAGGCGGTGGGAAGTGGTGCTTGTGTTATTGTTAACCTGTCACTGGCGTTGTAGATGGGCGTTAATGGACAGGATCCCGCCCATTCATCTCTGTGTGCCTACCACTTCAGGGGGTAAGGCCCAGCGGATAGCACTGATCATTCAAATGGAAATGAAAGGTTTTTCCCCTTCTGCCTGCAAAACGAGGGCGGGCGTTGCCCTTCCAATTGTCTGCCCCAAAAGGTTTCCACATGGAGGGCCTAGGACATCTACCTGACAGAACTAGGAAAAAAAAATCGTCTCTTGCTAGACTCGTTCATTTATTCATTCAGCATAGCTTTGCAGAGTACCCATTATGTGCTCAAGACTGCCCCAGGCACTGGGGCCAAAGGGGTAAGCGAGATAGATGGTCATTACCCTCTCAAATTGGTGTCCCCTAGACCTGAGAAAATAACTAGCAAATAAGGGAAGTAGCTTCCGTTAGTAACAAGCGTTAGGGGTAGGTTAAAGCAGTAATGGGATAGAGATTGGAGGGAAGTGGGAGACCTCTGTGAAAAGGTGCCCTGGGAGCTGAGGCCTGAAGGATAAGGCAAATCCAGCCTTGTAAGGGTCTAGGCAGGGGAAACGACACAGGCAAAGAACCTGGAGTGGAATTAATTGTGGTTGTTTTAGAAATAGAAAAAAGTCCAGTGTGGTGATCAAGGATGGTGGCTGGAGTGAGGTGGAAAGGGAGGAGACAGAGCAAGCAGATAAAGCTAGAGGCCTTGCTGATGGATTTAACCCTTGCTGATGGATTTAATGTGATTGTGGCGGGAGGGGTGTGGAGGGCTGTTGGTGGTGAGGCCAAATAGAAGAGAGGATGACTTTTAGGGTTTTTCTTAGCTTGAAAACAGGGGAGATGGTGGTGCCACTTACTGAGATGGCAAAGGCTGAGAGAAGAAAGGTTCTGATGGGTTGAGAAAAGAGGGTTCTGTTACCTTAAGTAGGAGAAGGTTTGGTAGGCAGCTGTGTCTGTAGGTCTGGAACGTAGGGGAGCCCTTATGCCAAGAAGATGCAGCTCCCTGCTCCTATAGTGTGAAAAGCAGAGACCTTCACAAATGTGGTGTTTGTGTGGTAGGTAGGCCTGATATTTGAAGGTAATTACACAGGGGAAGGGAAATAGAAGTAAAATACTGTTTATACCATTCTCTTCACAGGTCCCCGGCCAAAAAGAAAAAGTCCTCAGGGAGAAGAAGCAAGTCTCCTCGGAGTAACAGAAGCCGAAGTCCTCACCATTCAACAGTCAAAGTGAAGCAGGTAGGCGGGTTAAGATGGTTCGATGTTGGGTCCGGACCCAGAGCCCGTTACCGTCACAGCTGAAGTGTGTGTGTGTGTGTTCACCTGTTCCTACAATGGGCTGTTCTTAAAACTGGGTAGGTTTTTCTCCTACTTGTTTTGCTAAATGAAACTTTTTATTTTGAGATAATTGTCGATTCACTTGCAGGTGTAAAAATAATACGGGTATATACACCTTAACCCTGTCTCTCCCAATGGTGACATCTGTATAGTTGAGATATAAAACGCTTCCGGCACCACAAGGGTCCCTGGAGTTGTCCTTTTATAGTCACACCCCCTCCTGCCTGTCCTTTTATAGTCACACCCCTCCCGCCCTCAACCCTGGCAAATGCTAATCTGTTCTGCATTTCTATAATTTTGTCACTTCAGAACATACATATTTCTTAAATGTATTTCTAGGTATTGAATAATGTTTGTTATTCTTGAATTGAGATATTTTAAAATTACTATTACATTTTCATTTTGGCACAAGAGAAAGCTCGCTTTTTCTTTTTTACATATTTATTTTGTATATGACTAGTTAACTCTCTTTGTTAGTTCTCTTTTCTGTATATGATCCCCTTTAGGTGTGCCTGCAGGTACTCTTGTTTCTAGGGCTCTAAACATGGGCTTGCACAGTGAGAGCTGTGGTGTGGCAGTGGCATGGGACACACAGTCAGCGGGACCTTGCACAGAAACATAACCATCGCAGATGACTTTTCGAATGCAGCTTGTTCATAGATTGTGGACTGCCTTGAATTGACTGAATCTGTTCAAATTTCAGGAACGTGAGGATCATCCCCCCCGGAGAGACCGGGAGGATCGGCAACACCGGGAAGCGTCAGGACAGGAGCACAGGCGATCTAGGAACAGTGACCGAGACAGGCACAGGGGCCACTCCCACCAGAGGAGAGCCTCTGGCGAGAGACCCGGGAGTGGGCAGGCTCAGGGACGGGATCGAGACCTCCAGAACCTGCAGGCTCAGGAAGCGGAGCGGGAGTTTTATAATGCCCGACGGCGGGAGCACCGTCAGAAGAATGAAGTTATTGCCAGCGGTAATGAGTCTCAGGAGTTGCCTCCTCCACCTGCTGGCAAAAACAAAGACAAAGAGGTGCCCGTTAAGGAAAAGCCGAGCTTTGAACTTTCTGGGGCACTTCTTGAGGACACCAATACCTACCGGGGTGTAGTCATTAAATATAGTGAGCCCCCTGAAGCACGTATCCCTAAAAAACGGTGGCGTCTCTACCCCTTTAAAAATGATGAGGTTCTTCCAGTCATGTACATTCACCGACAGAGCGCTTACCTCCTGGGGCGACACCGTCGTATAGCGGACATTCCGATTGATCATCCCTCTTGTTCAAAGCAGCATGCGGTTTTTCAGTATCGGTAAGTACATTTGCAGAAAGGAACTTAAGTGTGAGCAGGCGCTAGTCTCAGTTAGTTAGGGTTACTAAAATTCGGGCTTTTTTTTTTTTTTTTTTAATTACCCGAGGACACTTTTTAATTGCTTTTAGAAAGGAAGGGAGATACAGAAACCTCGGTGAGAGAGAGAAGCATTGATTGATTATCTCCTGTAGGCACCTGGACTGGGGGTTGAACCCGTAGCCTAGGTATGTGCCCTGACAGGGAATTAAACCTACAACCTTTGTGTTAGGACAAAGCTCCAACCAACTGAGCCACATCAGCCAGGTCAGGATTACTGAGATTTTTGTGCATGTATGTGCAGAAGAGTCCATACCTGGCATATCTGAGATTAGTCTTGCGTATTGATCTAACTGCCCTTTGAATAAACATGTATTTGTATAAGAGCATTGAACTTGGTGTTGGGAATCCTGCCATTGCTTCTTACCAAGTATTTGACCTGGGATAAGCCACTCTCTGGGCTTTGGCTTCTACCTACCTCGCAGGGCTATTATGAGGGTTAAATGGAAGTCCAATTGAGAATGCCTGGCTTATGTGTTGGCTTTGTCTGTGTCTTGAAAGTTTGCATAGTACACCTGTTACAGTTTGGTCCTCACCACAGTCCTGTGAAGTGGGTGGCACAGGTCTTAAATTCCCATCTGACAGGTGAGAAGACTAAAGTTCGGCAAAGCCAAGTGACTTGCCTAACAAATGAGCCACAGAAGAACTTTGGCTCAAATCTCACTCCCTTAACTCTGAGATCCAATCTGCTTCATTTCCCTGCCCTGGCTGGGCAGCTCAGTTGCTTAGACCATTGTCTTGATTTGCCAAGGTTGTGGGTTGGATCTCTGGGCAGGACACATGCAAGAAACAACCAATGAATGCATAAGTCAGTGGGACAACAGATCAATGCGCCCCCCCCCCTCTGAAAATCAGTAAACTAGAAAAATCTTTATTCACATTGGGACAGGAGATAAAATAAGTTGCAATATAGGTGAAAGAAGCATTAGATTGATTATAAACGACACCAAAAAAAAGTATTTTCTTAACTATGGCAAGAGGCTTTGGATTTTGCATTTCAAGCTTCTGATCTACTGTGGATTTCCTGTCCTGCAGTGACCAGGTCTCACCTTTCTAATAAGTATTGTTGAACTTGCTCCTACTTTCTAGATTCAAGGCCATACCTTCCCCTTGATTTCTCAGAGTTTGAACTTGAACTGTGTTAAAGCCATGTTATTTACCTCATCTAGGCTATATTAGCAAAAAGCTGGATGATCTGAGGCAGGATTTGGCCTACAGTTTCCTCTTTTTTTTTCTTTTACATTGAATTTATTGGGGTGATATTGGTTAATAAAACTATAGAGGTTGCAGGTGTACAGTTCTATAATACACCTGTATATTGTATTGTGTGTTCACCACCACAGGCCAACTCTCCTTCCATCACCATTTATCCCCCCGTACCCTCTTCCACTTCCCCACATCTCCCTTAGGTTTCTCTCTCTCATCTCTTCTAGGCTTGTGGAATATACCCGTGCTGATGGGACAGTTGGCCGCAGGGTGAAGCCCTACATCATTGACCTTGGCTCGGGCAATGGAACATTCTTGAACAACAAGCGCATTGAGCCACAGAGATACTATGAACTGAAGGAAAAAGATGTGCTTAAGTTTGGGTTCAGCAGCAGAGAATATGTTCTGCTTCACGAGTCCTCTGATACTTCCGAAGTAGACAGGAAAGAAGATGAGGATGACGAGGAGGAGGAGGAAGTATCCGACAGCTAGCGAACTAAGAAACAAACTCTTGAGAGACCTTTCTTTTCTGCGAAGGCTTTGCGATGGACTCCGGAGCACCAGGTGCTCTTTGTAATGCCTCTTATTGCCTTAAGTCTTTATGTTTGGTTGGACTTTTTTCTGTGACATGTCAGCCACTTGCCTGTGGGCATATGTTTTCAGAACAGTCTCACCAACACATCGTGTTTCGTAGAAGCATCGTGGCTTTTAGTTGGTGCTTTCAGAACTGCTGCCTAGGAAACTAAACCCTTGGCTAAAGGGAAATTGTGGCTTGTTCTCTTTGTACAGATACTTTATTTATAGGCTTTGTGAACTGGGTTTGTTTTGTTTTTGTTTCTGGGGCAAATCCCTTAACAGAATCTTTCTAAGCTTTGGTTATCACCAAAACAGCCTCCAGTATATACCAAAGCTTTGAACTGGTTGAGCTCTTGAGTCACAGAAGTTGATTTTGCACTTCTTTTTTGGGGGGTGGGGGGTGGGAGTTTACCACATGACCTCATTGTTGACTGTTGGACTTAAACGGATGCTTTGTGGAGTCTGATGAAGCATGTGACTGCAGGAAGATCATGACGACTGCCCTCGGGTGCTGATTTCACGTCACAGGAGGCTGGGATGCGCTGTGGAGCGGCTTCCTGTGCGAGAATTCTGATTTCTCCGTGCAGCATGTACATAACACTTTTGATCACCTTATCTTTTCTTAACTTCATATTTTTATTCAAACGTTATCTCTTATTTTTTTTCTTTTTTGAGGAACACTGTCATCATGTGGCAGGGCCCTCGCTTTATTCTAACAACATGTGTACATGTCTAAACAAGGTTGTGTAGTTTACGTTTCATCTTTTTAAAAAACATTTAGAGAGGTGGTATTTACCTTCCCAAAGCTAGAAAGCCTGGGAATCGCCCAACTTTCCTAATTTTCCACTAAAGGGATCTGTGTAAGTAGAAAATGCGTAACAACTTCCATCTATATTGTGTTGTGTATATATAATTGTGTGTGAAAGAGCTGCACACTGATTTTCATATGAGAATGTTTTGTGATGTAAATGTAATACTACATTATAGGCAAAGGCCTCCCTGCATTTGAAGAGCAGGTTTTCATTTATATGTATTTTTGGGATGCAAAATAATAAAATTTGTAAATATAGCCCCATATCTTGGCGGGTGAGTGTTGGTCCTGTTGAAGCACCAGTGTTTTCTGAATTGGCAGCGAAGGGGTTTTCCTTCCCAGGATGGTCAGAGTTGGGGCAGGTCATATGTAGCGGGCCCCACTGATTCACCCTCAGGTGGGATGGAGAGAAGAGAGAGAGGATGCAACTCAGTCATTGCTGCTGGGAAGTCATTGCTCTCCTATTCCTCTTGGGTTGACACTTAACGATGCTATTAGATTATCTTCTTTATATTGTTTTTCCATTAAGGTCTCACATACCCTTGTGTACTCAGGGGAGTGGCTGACTAATCTTTATTCAAAAGAAATGAAACTTTCTTTGAAGAGTGAACACTTAATAAGATTAGTTAGATGTAAGGTTAGATGAAGGGAAGCTATAACCATGTAAGAGCGATTACCGACCCCTGCACCATGTTGGACGTGGGCTATTGTAGCAACTATTTGTTGAATTTTGATACGTCACATAGATCACAGATTGCATATGTGCATGGGTTTTTTTTAAGAAACGGGGGATTCAAGAAAAGACACTACCCATGTCCAAAGCCAGATATCACCAGCAGAGTTCTTATTTGAAGCTGATATAATCCTAAAGCTTTCTCCTGAGTTAATTCATTGCTTAGAAACTAATGTTCATCTAAGCTTTTTTGCAAATCCTTTATTACCTACATTTTCTCCACCATGGTTGGCTTCTCTGTAAATCATTGTCAAAATCAAGTTATCTCCAGAACAGCCCTTTGCTTCTGGGAGCTTCCCCCAAATCCTCTGTGGTGGTCTACATGTCTGCTGAGGTGTGCGACTGAATCTTTAGATTTCCCCATCAAGCCTTTTCCTAGTCATCTGGTTCCCTCATTCAAACACTGACCAAGGAGCTCATTAAACGCAGCTGGTGGTGCAGCTTTCAGATACTTTATTGTGTCCTGGTGATAAGTGAAGGCAGAGTAGTCAATGCAGTTAACTGAAATTTTTTAAATTGTTTTATTGAGTATGTTTGATATGGTACCCAAATGGTTATATTTTTTAACATGTTTCCCTTTGGGGAAATTGTGGATGTGAAGAATGAAATGATACAATGTTAATCAAAGCCTAAGAGGGACACGCACAACATGCCCGCAGTGTTCCTGGGTATGTGAGTTTATATCAACCGAAAAGGCTACTTGATCTACATTAAAGCTTCAGAACTGAAAGCTTCCCTGGGTCTCTTGGGTAAAGCTTCCAGTATTTTTATCAAATGGGAAACCATTTTAAGACCGTCGATGTGTTCACTGCACTCTAAAGTGGATTAACTCACTAGAGCAATGGTTGCATTAGCTTACTGTGCTAGTGTTTGGTTTACAGCTCCCAGAAGCAGGGAGCAGTAAGATGGAAGGAGACTGCACTGGGACAAGGGGTGGCACTTAAGGCATTCCTTAGAGACCAAGTGGATTTCCACCCAGTTGTGAGGAGGGTATTGTTCCAGACGGAGCAGCCCAGTGCACAGCGGGGCTGCAGTGGGCATGGTGGAGAGGGCCCTGAAAAGCTGGTAGTGGTGGAGCCGGGAACTGTAGGCTCAGGGGCCATTCCTCTGGACTGTGGCTTCCCACCTCCCTGGCAGAGCTTAGTGGGGCGATGTGAAACAGGCTGTCCTGTTCATAAGGGGTTCAAGGAAATCGCAGTGGGTAGGGTTCTCAGGGATAGAGAGTGGCTCAGGCAAACCCTCGCCTCACCCCACCAAGTCAAAGCCAGAGCTGCTTGGAAATCATCATAGTGGCTCATAAAAATAGACAAATTTTCAATAATTGGGTGCCTAAGAAGCGCTATGAACCAGGACCTCAATAATAAAATTGGCAATACCGAGGAGCACTTTCTCTGTGTGAAGCACAGTTCTAAGCATTTTACATGTATACTACTGACACCTTAATTCATTTCTTCCTCATAAGCCAGGCTCCTTTCATCATTCCACTTTGCGGATGGGTACACTGAGGAACAGAGAGGTAAGCTCACACAGGGTAGGTAGGATTGGAATTCAAACCCAGTCACTCTGGTTGCAGACACCACATTCTTAACCACTGTCTCTCACAGCCATGGGATGGACAAGGTCTGGCTCTGGCAGAGCGACACCATCAGGAGCCGCAGACACTGCTGGACAGGAGAAGCACTGGGGGACTGTGGAAGCTCAGAGGAACCATGTTCAACAAGCCTCCATAGTCAGGGAAGAATGAGCAGTTAGAAAAGGCCGGGGTGGGGGGATGAGGAAAGAAAGGAAAACATATTTCTACACAGAGAGACGAGTAGTCAGAAATACCTGAGCTGAGCCCTGACCGGTGTGGCTGTGTTGGTTGGGCATGTCCCTCAAAGAGAAAGGTCTTGGTGGTCAGGGTACATGCTGGGGTTGCAGGTTCGGTCCCCAGATGGGGCATGCATGAGAGGCAGCCGATCAATGTTCCTCTCTCTTTCTTCCTCCCTTCCCCTCTGTCTAAAATAAATAAAATATCTTTTTTGAAAAAGAGAAATAAATAGCTGAGGTGATAAACTAATGAGGCTTTGGAAACAAAGTTCAATAGGGAGAAGAGGCTGAGTGAGACCTGGATTCTGATAATGATGGCTAAGTTATTTTTCTGAAATCTGAAAACAGTCAAAATTTCTGGATAAAATATAAGCAAAAAAAAAAAAAATCTTAAAGCATCCAAGAACTGACAAAATAGTAAAAAAGTGATCAGTCCAAAAGTGAAGATAAATAAGAATCCAGAGAGAAATGGAGCCCAGATGCCTGGAAAGCACATTTGATCTAAAGGCCAACCATATTTGATTCTAGCAAATCAGACCTTACCCTAGGCTGCATGAGATAGAAGCCAAAACCCAAAGCCTACATACAATGGGTAGTATACTATTATATGGGTGTGTTTCTCACACACACATATAAAAGCTGGTGTGTGAAAGGGCTATAATTTTAAGAATAAAGGAGTGGATCAGAAATCAGATCCTCTCAGGTATTTGTAGCCTGGGAATTCAGGAAACCTCCAGCCTTGAACTCCATTTAAGGTGACCTTGTACTATTAGTACTTTCAGGTGTCTGATAGAAATAGATGAGCCCTGGCTGTGTGGCTCAGAGGACTGAGCACTGGCCTGTGAACTGAAAGGTCACCAGTTCAATTCCCAGTCAGGGCACATGTGTGGGTTGAGGGCTGGGTCCCCAGTAGGGGGTGCACAAGAGGCAACCACACGTTGATGTTTCCCTCTCTTTCTCCCTCCCTTTCCCTTTGTCTAAAGATAAATAAATAAAGATCTTTAAAAATAGGTGAAATTACTCTTTGGAGGGACTTTTTAATTCCTCTCCAGTTATTTCCAAATTTCCCCCAAATATACAAGCACACAACAAAAGGCACTGTAGATGAAAACCAACAGAAATAACATAACAGAAACTGATTCTCAAAGAGCTTCAGGTACTTGAATTACAAAATAACTATAAAATGTTCATGATCGGTGGGAATTGACTGTGGGAGTGGGGGTGGGATGAGTGAAGGAGGGCAAGGGGGGGAAATTGGGACAACTGTAAAAAAATAACAAAATAATCCTTAAAGAATATACCTCTAAACAAAGAAAAAACATAAAATGTTGACCATAGCTATTTTCTAAGAAATAAATGACAAGCTTGAAAATACAAGGAACAAGAAACAGCAACAAATGAAATGGGAGTTATTTAAAAGACCAACTAGACTTGAGAAATGAACCATACAGTAACTATACAAAAATCCATCAATGGGCAGCTTTAAGAGAAGCTTCAGTGAAAATTAATGAACTGGAATATAGGCCAAAGAAAACTATCCATGCACATAAATTTATTTTTTTAAACATTTTATTTATTTAGCCCTGGCTAGTGTGGTTCAGTGGATTGAATACTGGCTTGCAAACAAAAGTGTCATTGGTTCGATTCCCAGTCAGGGCACATGCCTGGGTTGCAGGCCAGATCCCCAGCAGGGGACCACACAAGAGGCAACCACACATTGATGTTTCTCTTCCTCTTTCTCCCTCCCTTCCCCTCTCTAAAAGTAAATTAAAATATATATATATATATATATATTATTTATTTATTTCTAGAGAGACAGGGAGGGATGAGAGAGATGTGAGACATGCATCAATTGGCCACCTCGCACACACCCCCAGCCAGGATCCTGGCCTACAACCCAGGCTTGTGCCCTGACAGGGAATTGAACTGGCGAGCCTTCAGTTTGTAGTTTGTTGCTCAATCCACTGAGCCTCTCCAGTCAGGGCATGCATATAAATTTAACAACTTAGATGAAATGGACCAATTCTTCAAAAATTATGTTACCCAAATTCACTCTATGAAATAAATCATCTGAATAGTCCTATAAATATTAAAGAAATGAAACTTATTTTAAAAGCTGTCAAAAAGAGCCCTGGCCGTGTTGCTTTGTTGATTGGAGCGTCGTCCTGTGCACCAGGGGGTTGTGGGTTCGGTACCCAGTTGGGTCACTTGCCTGGGTTGCGGGTTTGACCCCTGGTCAGGGTGAATACAGGAACCAATCAATAGATGTTTCTCTCTCTCTCTCCCTTCATCTCTCTCTAGCACCAACAGACATGGACTCAGGTGAGGGTTAGGAAAAAATATGCTTTAAAAAAAGCTTCTGGCCCTGGCTGGCATAGCTCAGTGGATTGAGCGTGGGCTGTGAACCAGGCATTGCAGGTTCAATTCCCAGTCAGGGCACATGCCTAGGTTGCAGGCCATGGCCCCCAGCAACTGCACATTGATGTTTCTCTCTCTGTCTCCCTCTCTCTCTCCCTTCATCTCTCTCTAGCACCAATAGACATGGCCTCAGGTGAGCGTTAGGAAAAAATATGTTTTAAAAAAAGCTTCTGAAAAGAAATATTGAGACACAGATGATGACGGTTTCACTGGAGAATTCTATCAAATATTTCAAGAATTAGCACCATTCTATACCACCTCTTCTTGAAATTAGAAGAGCAAGGAACACCTCCCAATTCATTTTATAAGGTCATAATTATTTTGGAACCAAAGCCAGAAAGGAAAGTACAAAGAAAAAAAAAGGTTATAGTACAACATCCAATGAATTTAGCCATAAAAAGTCTCAATAAAATATTAGCAAATGGAATCTAGCAATATATAAGAAGAATTATACCATGGCCAAGTGCAAGGCTGGTTCGACACTTGGAAATGATTCTATGTGGAGCACTATACCAAGAGGCTGGAGAATTAATTGACACAACCATATCAATTAGGTAGGAAAAGTATAGGACAAAACTCAATACCCATTCATGATAAAAACTGTCAGTAAACTAGAAATAGAAGGGAACTTCCTCAACTTGATTTAAAAAATCTGCAAAAACCCTGTAGCTAACATCACACTTTATGGTGAAGAACAATACTTTCCTCCTAAGGTAGAGAACAAGTCAAGGCTGTCCACTCTGACCACTCTCATTCAACATGGAACTGGAAGTCCTAACCAGCACAGTAAGGAAAGAAAAGGAAATAAAAGGCATACAGGTTGGAAAAACCCCTCCTGGAACTAATAAGGGAGTTCAGCAAGATCCCAGGTTACAAAAGCAACACACAAAAGAAATTACCCAGAATGCAGCAGAAAGAAACAAAAAGATGACAAAAAGACAGTTACTGGGGGGAGGGAGGTATAAGGGGACTAAATGGTAATGGGAAAAAGGTGCAATAAAGATTGAATTTTTAAAAAGACAGTGGGTAAAAAGAATAAAGGATTATTATATTTAAGTTCCAGAAGGAGAGAGAAAATGAGTCAGAGGCATATCTAAAGAAAGATAGCTAAGAATTTCCCAGAACTGGTGAATTTCCACAGACTGTAGAAGCCCAAAGAAAGGGAGAAACGAGGGAGGGAAGGGAGGAAGGAAGGAAAGGGAATCCTACCTAGATTCATGAAAGTGAAATTTGCAGAACCTTGAAAAATGGAGAGAGTTGAGGCTGGAGAGATAAGGGGCCAAGTGAAAACAAAGTTATAAGAAGACTGGACTTAATGAAAAAAGCTAACAGTTAGGCAGTGTTATTACCGGCCAAGCCCAGATAGACCTGCAGTGATTTACTCCTGGCAGCAATGGTATTAGGTAAGTACTATTATTACCTCCATTTTACAGATGAGAAAGTTGAGACAAGAAAAGTTTGGTTACTTGCTCAAGGCGGCACAGCTTTCAGTGGCAGAAGTAGGATTTTTTTAAAAAGTTCTGTTTTTTTTTAATCCTCGTCCAAGAATATGCTTATTGATTGGGGGGCGGAGAGGGGGGGCGTGGATCTGTTGCCTCCCATACACACCCCAACCCAGGTCAAACCGGCAACCTAATGGCAACCTACACATCGTGGCCTGACCAAACCCCAACCTCTCTGAGTACAGGAAGATGCTCCAACAAGCCGAGCCCTGGGGCCAGGTTCTACAAGTAGGATTTTGAAAAAGGTAGTTCTGGCTCCAGTTTACGTCCCCAACCACAACACAAACTGTACCTAGTACCTGACTCTATAGAGGGCATGAGAAGCCGTTGAAAGGTTAAAACCAAGGGAAAGACATTACATTTGTTTTCCGGACAAATTATCTTGGCGCCACTGTGGATCATGGATTAACTGCAGCAAAGTGTGGAAACAGGAGTCTATTGGAATAATGTAGTCCCAAATAGGGAGGGCCTGGATGAACGAGGGAGGTGGTAGAAGCAAATGGGTTTGCGGGGTCTACCAGGCCAGGGAACTTGGTTCTGGACGGGATAAAGGGCTGAAGGTGAGTTTTCTCACTTGGGCGATTAGGTGGACAGTGAAAGTCATTCACTGAAGGGACTTAGGAGTCTGGTTTGGGCACTGTCAGTTTGAGGAACCTGTAATGGTCAGCCATCCACGAAGAGCTGAAACGCCTGTAGTACCAAAACCCGAGAGTCCCACTACCAGGGCACCCCAAGCAGCGCGCGCGCGAGCGGGAGGCCCAGAGCGCCGCGCGGCTAGCGTCTCCGGTAGCCACGTGCGCAGGCGCAGTGAGGCCCAGGCGCCCCCTGGCGGGCTGTGGCGCGCAGGGACCGCCCCCTGTCCGGCGCTGCAGCTGCCCGCCTGTGCCCAACATGGCGATGCATAACAAGGCTGCGCCGCCGCAGATCCCGGACACCCGGCGGGAGCTGGCGGAGCTCGTGAAGCGGAAGCAGGAGCTGGCGGTGAGGGGCTAGCACCAAGAGAGTCCGGGTGGGGGCCCTGCGCCTGCCCTCGCTTCCAGGCCCCAGCTCCGCCGCGCCAGGCCGTTACTTCGCGGGCGCTGCGCTGCGGCGGGGAATCCGGCGGCCTGAGGTTGGGCTGCGCATTCTGCGGCCCGCCGGCGCCTTGGCTTCCCGGGTGTGCTGGAGCCGGGGTCAGGGGCTGGGCGCCTAGCCGGAGGGTGGGGGGAGGGGGAAGGGATGGCGCCTAGGGCTGTGGGGCTTCAGTGTGGCAGCGCTGCAAAGGCGAGTGCCGGTGAGCTTTGGGGGTGGGTGAGGGCGTGTGTGTCGGTAGGCTGTAGGAGATTGGTTCGGGCGTGCGGGTGGGCTTCGGTGGGGTGGGGCAGGAGGCGGCTGTGGGAGGGGGACTCAGTCATCCACTCTGGTCCTTGGAGGATAGAGGGGCGCATGTTCTTTTGGGGACTAGGAGTAGATTCATTGAATGGGATTTCTGATGGGCAGGGATGCGATGTGTTTGGGAACGTCTAGAAGGTGACAGGCGAGGGGAGCTGACTCCGTCTAGGGAATTAGGAATTGACAGGCATCCAGGACCTCATGCATCCTGGTGGCTAAGCCCTCTTCGCCTCCCGCGGCTTGGTTGGGCACCTGGGAGCCCATCTAACCTGAAGCCCTTCCAGGTTTCCATAGCAACTGGCTGTCCAGCGCAGGCGGCCTTTCTGAGCGGAGAGGAGTGAGTTGGCTAGCAATAGAAGGCTGCTCACTCTACCTTTATGCGTGGGAGTGGAGTCTGCATGAGCCAGGGTTCTTCGCAATTGGGTTTACATGAACCCTCTGAAGTAGATACAAAATTCTGTATATGTATGCACTTTTCAGGGGACAAGCTCTCTGTGTTCCATTGTATTCTCAAAGGGATCCAGCAGGACAATTCTAGACTGTCTTAATCTGCTTGTCCCTCCCTGTATCATCCATTTCTCCACAATGTTGGTTTAGTGTATTTGGGCTTGAGTTTGTAAGTCTAATAGCAAGATTTCAGTTTGGTCAAACCCGACGCTTGCGTTTAAGAGGCAGCATCTATTTCCTTGTTTTTCATCTCTCAGGAAACGCTGGCAAACTTGGAGAGACAGATCTATGCTTTTGAAGGAAGCTACCTGGAAGATACTCAGATGTACGGCAATATTATTCGTGGCTGGGATAGGTATCTGACCAACCAAAAGTGAGTGTCAGAAGCCTGTGGTGTTTGCATTGTGACCTACTGATACTTGTTTTTAGGACAGTGTTCGTTTTTTATAGCAACTTTGCAGGGAGGTGGTGTATAGTAAGTGGTAGTTTGAAAAGAGGTTTGGGCTTGAACTTGGACCCTGGCTCAGCCTCAGCCTCACAGAGTAATCCTAAGCAAATCCTACATCTGTAGAACATGAAATACAGTGTATAATACCTTACACGACAGCGGCCTTTTAGTGTTTTCCACATTTGAATCAGTCGTGATGAGTTCTACCCTCATAGTTTGCCATACCTAGTGCCAGCTGCACCCTCATTTATTTATTTCAAAGATTTTATTTATTATTTTTAGAGGGAAGAGTGGGAGAGAGGGAGAGAGACTTTGACCTTGGTTGTCTCTCACACACCCCCAGCTGGGGACTGGACCTGCATGTACCCTGAATGGGAATTGAACCTGTGACCTTTTTTTTTTTTTAAAGATTTTATTTATTTATTTTTAGGGAGGGAAGGGAGGGAGATAGATAGATAGATAGAGAGAGAGAGAGAGAGAGAGAGAGAGAGAAACATCAATGTGCGGTTGCTGAGGGTTATGGCCTGCAACCCAGGCATGTACCCTGGCTGGGAATCGAACCTGGGACACTTTGGTTCCCAGCCCGCTCTCAGTCCACTGAGCTACGCCAGCCAGGGGCTGAACCTGTGACCTTTTGATTCGCAGGCCAGGCCTCAATCCACTGAGCCACAACAGCTAGGGCGCAATTTGTTAGTAATAATATTCTTGAAATCTTTCTAAACTTTTTGAAATGTTTTAAATCTATGGAAAATGGAATGAATAGTGTATGAACACCTGATACCCTCCACTGAAATTCATCTGTTGTTAACTTGTTGCCACATTTGTTTCTCCTCTTTCTTTCTTCTTTCTCTATTATATAGATAAACACACACAGCTATATTTATATTAGGATTTAAAAAATTTTTTGAAATAATTATAGATACATAGGAAGTTACAAAATAGTACAGAGAGGTCCCATGACCCTTTACCCAGTTTTCCCCATTGGGTTTTATGTAACTATAATATCAAAACCAAGAAATTGCCATTAGTATTGTGTCTATGTACTTCTGCCACTTTTATCGTGTGTGTAGATTCCTATAACCACCGCTGCAGTCAGGATACAGAACTGTGCTATCACCACAGAGGTCTCTGTTAGGCTACCCCTGTGTGGTTTTATCTCCTCATTCTCCCTAGACTTTCTTAGGGTTTTCCTTGCTACCCCTATAAAGGTTAGAAGGAGATTTCATGGCACATTGCCTCTAAGTATGTCAGCAGTTATGTCCTCTCCGAATAAGTACATTTTTCTTACCTAGCCACAATTATGCCGAGAAAAGTAGCACGACATTAATAGTATTATCTAATATACAGCCTTTATGAAAATTTCCCTAATTGTCCCAACATGCTGGCTACCTTATTTTGATCTCCTCAGAATTGTTCATTGCGTTAGCTATGCTTTTAGCGCCTTAATTTAGAAGAGTCTCCCACCCTTTTTGGCAGTGAAGTTGTTGTTTATGACATTATCTTGTAGAATGTCCCAATTCCACATTTTTTTTATTGTGACCTCACAAGAGACCCTTTAAACATTTTTGACGGAAATGTTGCATTAGTGGTTCGTGTACTTCCTGTTCATTGCTATTTTATCAGGAGGCACATAATGTGAGATTGTGCCATTATGGGTGTTGCTGAGTTTGACGACGTGATTTCTCCATTGTAAAGTTTATTTCTTTTCTTTTAAATTAACGTGGAAGTTTGGAGTTTATACTTCTAGACAGTAGGAATATACTGCTCCCCCTGCCCCCCATTTGTATTCCGTGGTTTTAGTCTACATTGTTGATTCCTATCAGAATAAGTTATTATACTGGAAGTTGCAAAATGGTGATTTAATTTTACTTTTTTTTTTTTTTACATTTATTACTGGTATTCTGAAAGAAGAGCCTTCCCTTTTTATCTCTTCCCTTTCTTTTTTTTTTTTAAGACTTTATTATTTTTCAGAGAGAGGGGAAGGGAGGGAGAAAGAGAGGGAGAGAAACATCAGTGTGTGGTTGCCTCTTGTGTGCCCCCTACTAGGGACCTGGCCCACAACCCAGGCCTGTGCCCTGACTGGGAACCAAACCCGAAACCTTTCGGTTCACAGGCCGGCACTCAGTCCACTGAGCCACACCAGCCAGGACTTATCTCTTCCCTTTCATCTTCTCTATCTCTGTCTCTCATTAATATCACTGTAGACTCATGGATGTTTTTAAAAATTAGTGTTGCAATCTAGCACTGTCACTTTTTTATTATAGAGGTTTATTTTCAGTATAAATTAATTTATTGACATGTAGACAGAAAACTATACAAATTGTAAATATACAGCTCAGTGACTTTTCACAAAGCTGACACACCCATCATCCTTTTTGATGCTCAGTCTATCCCGAACTTGGCAGGAAGGAGTCTCCTTACGATGATTCCTTTGTCCTTTTAACAGAACCCTATTAGTCTGAGCACATTGTCCCCCTTTCTGTCACCTTTTTCTTGTCCCCAACCATTTTTCTAAAGAACCCTGGTTTTTCCTTTAGATTTTTAAAATAAAAAAAAATTAAGTTTATTTAACAGAGATACTTCATATCACTGGTCTATACGAGTTGTTTTTTAAGTCATTGAAATATACACGTATTAAAATGAGAATGACCATGAACCAACTGAAGTAGCCTCATGTACCGCAGTGAAGGCATTGCTGTTTACACAGGCACTCAAGCGCAAAGGTCCTTTTGGTCAGCCCAAGTGGTGTGGAGGGAAGAAAAACAAAACGAATTCCATGCCTATTCCCTGGGACATCCTCAGCTTGAGCCATAGACAGAGCTTGGTGCTTATAATGAATCTCCGTGTGTGTTTTAGAAACTCCAACAGCAAAAACGATCGAAGGAACCGGAAGTTTAAGGAAGCTGAGCGGCTCTTCAGTAAATCCTCGGTTACTTCGGCAGCTGTAAGTGAGGTGGGGGGAGCTCTGCGTGGCCCATTGTTGAGGGAGACCTCAGTTAAATTTCTGTGACTTTTCTCCACCCCTTCTGTCTGTAAGAGCTCGTCTGAGGTCTGTGATAATTTTTCTAGTAACTAGCGTTTTTGTCTTTTAGGCAGTAAGTGCACTGGCAGGAGTTCAGGACCAGCTCATTGAAAAGAGTAAGTTTATGTTGTTACTTTTTCATCAGTTTATTTTGAAGCTACCATGGTTTCTGCCTTTACCTCCTTTCCAACTGTGTATCTGAAGACTGTATCTCTTAATGCTCTTCTGTCTTCTTTCTAGAAGTCCTTCCTTCTGCCACTTCTGTCACAGGAAGGGTGATGCGAGCCGCTCAAAACCAGAAAGATACGTCTTCACTCCTGATAAGTCTTAGGGGATTTTTTTAAAGTTAAAAAAAAACCCACTTTTATTGTGAAAATTTTCAGACATACCCAATAAATCCCCATAGACCCAATTTAATTTTCAGGAAATTCTGACCCTGCAAACAGAATGTACCTGTGTGTTCTCAAATATAAAATGGGGAGTGGACAGTATTTACAACAAACTGTGTCACTCCCTGTGAGCCATGCAGTGTCATTCTGTTGTGATTCCTAGTGACGGGATGTGGGCCCGCCCATTTTCTGAGTCGGACCCTGCGTGGCTGTATGTTCTCCCTGCGCCCTGGGTCACTTGGAACGCACCCTCCTCTTCGTACTGTGGCTGTGAACTTGTTTCAGAAGGTCTCATTGTTGGGTCCAGTGTTTCGCTTTGGGGCAGTGGTTTGAGGAAAAGGAGTTTTGGTAGTCTGCGAATTACTCAGCTACTTCCATTATTATTATCTCTGTACAGATTTCTAAATTTGTAACTCTATCCTGATCCCCTTTCCTGAGCTTTAGTGATACATTTTCTAGAAAAATTCTAGAAAATGTCTTCTGTACATTTCCATTCAGATATTCAAATGCAAACATTTTGTCTAAAGCTGAGCTGTTCTATTTCCTTCAAAACATGTCTACCCAGTTTTTCTGTTATAGTACTTCATCATGCAAAACTTTGTAGACATTTTTACTCTTTTTTTTCTGCCAGCCTAATCAGTTGTACCAAGTCCGTTTGATTTTTCTTTTGCTATGACTATCAGTTAAATCTTGTTTCTTCTCAATTAATGCCACTTGTAGAATGTAAGGCCATTTCATCTGCTTTGTAGAGCAGTAAGACTGGTTAAGGAAGATGCTCGATCTCACCCTTGTGAATTGAGATGGAATGATGTCTAACCCCTTAGTTTTGTGTTTACAAGAGTCTCTCATCCTGCCCCTGGCTTAGTAGAGAGTTCAGTATATGGCTCTGCACCTAATTATTTGCAGAGTAGCAGTGCCTCGATACTTCCTTTCAGGAGCTCGACTGAGACAGGTACTTAGGTATTCAAGATTTTCTGAAGCATACGTAGACCATCCATCACCCTAAGGTCTTCCTCCCGGACTGAGCTTCATCTCTGCAATACATCATAGGAGTATTCTTTGGTCTTCCCTATAAAGTTACATTTGGTCTTGTAAAATGTGTTTCTATATATTGTAAGAGGATGTTGCAAATGTTGTTTATTATCATTCCTTTCTTTTTTAAAAGATTTTATTTATTTATTTTTAGAGAGGGGAAGGGAGGGAGAAAGGGAGAGAAACGTCAATGTGCGGTTGCCTCTCATGCATCCCCTACTGGGGACCTGGCCTGCAACCCAGGGATGTGCCCTGACTGGGAATTGAACTGGCAACACTTTGGTTTGCAGGCCAGCACTCAATCCACTGAGCCACACCAGCCAGGGCTATTTATTTATTGTTTTTAGAGAGAGGGGCAGGGAGGGAGAGAGAGGGAGAGAAACATTGATTGGTTGCGTCTTCTATGCCTCCCATCTGGGGACTGAACCCGCAGCCTAGGCATGTGTCCTGACAGGGAATCAAACCTGCAGCCTTTCAGTTTATAGGATGATGCTCCGACCAAATGAGTCATGAGGTCAGGGCTTGTCATTCTAATTATTATCTCCTTCAGGAATAGTTGTTTTCCCTGAGGGACTAGTTGTTTTTTACTGCAAATAATGTAATTGACTGTTTCCCATTTTGCATGGGTACTAAATGCTTAGAGCCAGATTTGTGGTACCCCTCTAAAAAGCAAACATGAATTTATAACATGCGTTGTGGGACCGAATCTTAGTACTGTATCCAGCTTATTTTCCTCTTTTATTCCTTTTTGCCTTATCTCATTTTAAATTTATTTCATTGGATTTCATTATGTAAGCCTTGGCAAGCTGCCTTGAATTCTTTTTGGAATAAAGCAGAGTATAGAGAATTACATAAATACTGGAGTTCATTAATTCAAATGGTCAGAGCCCCTTTAAAGTAATCCTATTGTGCCCTGGCAGGTGTGGCTCAGTAGACTGAGTGCCAGCCTGAAAACTGAGGCTGCCGGACACCGGTTTGATTCCCAGTCAGGACACATGCCTGGGTTGTGGGCCAGGTCCCTGGTTGGGGGCGAGCGAGAGGCAACTAACTGATCAATGTATCTCTCACAAATCGATGTTTCTCTCACTCTCTTCCTCCCTTCCTGTCTCTAAAATAAATAAATACATAATTTAAAAAACATCAAAATTGGTGAATTTTTGTGTAGCTGTTTTAATATTGAAGATGAAAGAAAATATGCAACATTTTTGGCATATTATGCTTTATTATTTCAAGAAAAGTAAAAATGCAACTGAAATACACATGAAAAGGTTTGTGCAGTGCATGGAGAAGGTGCTGTGGCTGATTGAACATGTCGAAAATCATTCCCGAAGTTTTGAGCTGGAGATTTCTTACTGGACGGGGAGACCACTTGAAGTTGGTAGCCATCAAATTGAGACATTAACTGAGAACAGTCAACATTCTGCCATGTGGAAAATACCTGACACACTCAAAACATCCAAATCAATAGTTACTGGTGAAAACAAAAATGTCTTTTATCTGACAGAAAAAAACTAAATGGACTTCTTGGCCACCCCAATATCTTCTTGTCTCTGTACTGCAGTATGAGTAATTTTTTTCTGACCTACCAGTTCCTAGAATTCTTTTCAATTAAATCAGATTTGTTGTTAAATCTTCCCTTGATTTTAATTCTTTTGTTATTGCAATTTTATTTCCATAAATTCTACTTAATTATTTTTAAAATCTGCTGTGTAGCCTTGACTGGTGTGGCTCAGTTGGTTGGAGCATCGTCCTGTAAACTGAAAGGTGGCAGGTTCAATTCCTGGTCAGGGCACATGCCTAGGTTGCAGGCTTGGTCCCCAGTCAGAGCACGTGGGAGAGGCAACTGATCGATGATTCTCTCCCTCTCTCCCTCCCTGCCCCTCTCTCTAAAAATCAATAAGCATGTCGTCACGTGAGGATAAAATAAATAAAAATAAAATCTGTCATGTAACTTCTCAATAGCTTTCTCTGCAGTTATTTTCAAACTTGTCTATTACTTTAAGTGTAGTAAGCACAGTTATTCTGTAGTCTGTATTTAATTTCACTTTCTGAAGTCCTCGATGGCCTGTTTTTGTTCGTTGTTTCTGCAGGTCATTACTCATGAAATCTGGTCTCCCTGTGTGCTTGATTATCTTTGAGCACTGCTCCTATTATTAAAAGTATTCATAGAATAAGCCCTGGCTGGCGTAGCTCAGTGGATTGAGCGCGGGCTGGGAACCAAAGTGTCCCAGGTTCGATTCCCAGCCAGGGTACATTCTTGGGTTGCAGGCCATAACCCCCAGCAACCGCACATTGATGTTTCTCTCTCTCTCTCTATCTCCCTCCCTTCCCTCTCTAAAAAATAAATAAATAAAATATTTTTAAAAAAGTATTCATAGAATAAATTGAGGGCTAGGATGAAGGTGCTGTGCTGTCTTCCAGAGAAGACTTAATGTTTGCTTCTGCAGGGTGCGTGTGCCTCTTTAAGCCAGGTTCAAGGCTCAAGTGTCCCTGAATGACTCAGGTGGTTCAAACTAAGCTTTAATTCCATGAGAGGTGTGGTCTGCTTTGCCTTTCATATCCTTTCCTTTTTGCAGAATCTCACCAATATCTCAGAATTTCTATGTAGCAAATCTTGTGGAATGATTTCTCTAGTTTTGATCTTTGGCGGCAATGAAGGGAACATCCTTTTTTCTTAGAATTCTGACTTGCAAGTTCTTGGATCTCAAGGATTTTAGAGTTTTGCGCTTTTGGCATTTTATTTTTAAACTATTTTGAAAATTTTCCTCAGAAATTCATTACATTCTGCTTCCTTTGGCCTCAGATGTACCCAAACTAGAATAACAAAGTGGGTTAGCATGGCCGTAAAGGGGGCTTTTATGCAGGTCAGTGAAACATTGTTTTTTTTTTTTTTAAGAATAAGAGAAAAACAGAATAGGCAGATTTTACCCAGTTTCCTTTAAAGGATCAGCATGGTTTCTGCTCTTCTTTCTCCTGGACTACTCTGGCGCTTGCAGCCAACTGCACCTCCCCTCCGCTCTCACGTCCTCCTGGTGGCCGACCCGCTGCTGCTGCCGCTGCCGCTGCCGCTGCTGCTGCGTCCTCCTGCAGAAAGGCGCGTGCTTTCCTCTTTTCCCTCTTTAGACGTTTAGTGCCATCGCAAGTCACTGCCTTGACACAATAGCTGTTCCTTTCTTTCCATGAGTAGAATGTCTCCTTTGTAGATTTATTAATCAAAATCTGATGTCCTTTGCTCCAGAAATGTGTTGCTCACTGTTCCGTCAGTGAGAAGCAGACCTGCGTGTCTTTCCAGGGTGGCAGCGCCCTCCAGTGGGCGGACTCGCTGCTGCGTTCTGAGATGTTGCCACCCAGCCCTTCTGCCCTCAGTCCCCTCCTGCTTCCCTGAGCCCAGGAAGAAAATTACTCTTACTTTGTGGTCTCATTTGTATTTTGACAGTGTTTAATCTAGTCTCCCGGGCTCAAGTTCCTCTTATAAACCACTTCAAGCCTAATAATCATAAAACACGGATTTGTACAGAGAACTCCATAAATATTCGTTGTTGGAGGTAACTTCTTTATTCAGAGGTTCTTGTGTCTTGGCCACGTCATGTCCTGCTAACAACTGTTTTACTGCAAATGGTCTTTGCTGTTTGTTGAGAATATGACTTTCGTGCTTGTAGATCTCAGGGATTTTGAGATTTGGACAATTACTGTGTTGCTGATACTAAGCAAACACTTTACCTACATTATCTCATTTAATCCTTAAAGCTACTTCTTGAAAACAGGGAACACTGCGGTAGCCCCAGTGTTTAGCCCAGTGCCTCATCCGTAGGAGATACTCAACACAGGAAAGAAAGGATTCCTACTTTACAGGTGGGGAAACAGGCGGAGGAAGGTTAAGCCACAGTCAGTTCTCTTAAACCTTACCTTACACTGTCTCCCTAGATAAAATCCTTTACTTACTGTGATGTTTATGAGTTCTCTTAACCTGCAATTCCATTTCACCTCATTTCTCAAGTTCTCTGTTTAAATAATGTTTGATTCCCTGGTCCCAAATATACCTGTGTTCTCTCCCCTCTACACTTTTGCTTGTGCGGTTTTTGGTACTTATTTTAGCTTCTCATTTTTTAAGGTCCAGTTTAAATTCTACCCCTTAAACATGGCTTTTCCTGCTCACTTCGGCAGCACATATTCTAAAATTGGAACAATGCAGAGAAGATTAGCGTGGCCCTTGTGCTAGGATGACATGCAAACTCATGAAGCATTCCACTTCTTTAAAAATATTTTTTATTGATTATGCTATTACAGTTGTCCCATTACCCCCCTTCATTTTCCTCCACCCTGCACACTCTCTCCCACCCACATCCCCCCCCTTTAGTTCATGTCCATGTGTCATAAGTTCTTTAGCTTCTACATTTCCCATACTATTCTTGCCCTCCACCTGCCTATTTTCTACCTACCACCTATGCTACTTATTCTCCATAACTTTCTCCCCCTCTCTCCTCCTCCCACTCCCCTGTTGCTAACCCTCCATGTGATCTACATTTCTGTGGTTCTGTTCCTGTTCTAATCGTTTGCTTAGTTTGTTTTTGTTTTTGTTTTAGGTGTGGTTGTTTGTTTTGTGAGTTTGCTATCATTTTACTATACATGTTTTTTTATTTTCTTTTTCTTAGATAAATCCCTTTAACATTTCATATAATGTCATATAGGGTTTGGTGATGATGAACTCCTTTAACTTGACCTTATCTGAGAAGCACTTTATCTGCCCTTCCATTCTAAATGAAAGCTTTGCTGGATAGAGCAATCTGGGATGTAGGTCCTTGCCTTTCATGACTTGGAATACTTCTTTCCAGCCCCTTCTTGCCTGTAAGGTCTCTTTTGAGAAACCAGCTGACAGTCTGATGGGAACTCTTTTGTAGGTAACTGTCTCCTTATCTCTTGCTGCTACTAGGACTCTCTCCTTCATTTTTACCTTGGCTAATGTAATTATGATGTGCCTTGGTGCGCTTGTCCTTGGGTCCAACTTCTTTGGGACTCTCTGAGCTTCCTGGACTTCCTGGAAGTCTATTTCCTTTGCCAGAATGGGGAAGTTCTCCTTTATTATTTGTTCAAATAACTTTTCCACTTGTTGCTCTTACTCTTCTCCTTCTAGTACCCCCATAATTTGGATGTTGGATTGTTTCAAGATGTCCTGGAGGTTCCTAAGGCTCTCCTCATTTTTTTTTGAATTCTTATTTCTTCATTCTTTTCTGATTGTATGTTGCTTTCTTCCTTCTGGTTCACTCCGTTGATGGGAGACCCAGCTTTCATTCCTTCACTATTGGTTCCCTGTGCATTTTTCTTCATTTCACTTATTGTAGCCTTCATTTTTTCATCTAATTTGTGACCAAAAATCAACTAATTCTGTGAGCATCCTCATCACTAGTGCTTTGAACTGTGCATCTGATAGGTTGGCTATGTCTCGGTCGCTTAAAAGTACTGGTTGTGGGGCTTTCAATTCTGTTTGAGCCATCTTTTTTTTTTTCCTTTGGTCTGGTTGTGCTTGTTCTGTGTTAGGGGCGGAGCCTTAGGTGTTCACCAGGGTAGGGCACCCCAGTCGCTGGGTTGTGATGTTTATGTGGGGGCGGGGTCCAAGGGGGAATAATGGCACTTGCTCAGCTCTCCGTCGGACCTCGGTCCTTTCTGCCACTTCCTCTGAGCAAACTGGGCCCCTCTCGTGCTGATTCCCATGTGGGTGGGCTTGTGCACTCCGTGGGACTTTCCAGCGACCTCTCCTGTGAGACTGGGAGTCTCTCCCTGCGCCTCACCCCCACAGGTGTTTTCCATCAGTGTCCTGAGGCTCTATTTCCCAGCGCTGGGATCCTGGGTTGCCCGCAGTGCCTTGCTTCACAATCACCGCCTTGCTGGGTCTGCCATTTGCCACCCTTCGGCCAGGGTCTGCCAGCTGCCGCCTGCGTGCTCAGGGTCCACCTGCTATGGTCTTGTGTGCCTCGGATGCCTTTTGCGCCTGGTCCCAACACTCTCGGCTCTCCGTGCGGTGACCTGAGCCAGGCTGCCCGACTCTGCCCCTCCTACCGGTCTGGACAAACGTGTCTATTTTAACTTCTTGGTTGTCCGACTTCCATACAGTTCAATTTTCTGTCAGTTCTGGTTGTTATTCTGTTTCTAAATTGTTGTTGTCCCTATCTTGGTTGTGTGAGGAAGCACAGTGTGTCTACCTATGCCTCCGTCTTGGCTGGAAGTCGCTCCACTTTGTTTTTAAAGGGAAAAAAATGAAGTTTTTCCTGAATAATTCACTCTTTTTCTCTGGGACATTGGTTACTACCTGGTGCGTTACTGTCAGCACTCACAGGGCTTTGATTCTGTGCATGCGGTTTCAGCTTATAGAAGGTGACCACCGCATCTGCTTACGCAGCATCTGCTCCTGCGGCATCCGGCCGACGGGGGATAAATAGTGCATTGCTCACCAGTGCCCTTTAATTGAATTGCCCGTCAAATGCAGAAGGGCCAGATTAGTCAATATGCCTTTGTTGAAAATCAATCGATCATAAATGTTAAAGGTTTATAAGGTCTGTCCAGAAGGTATCCAGCCATGTACTATGAAAAATAGAGACATTTATTGAACAAGATACAAGGTACAAGAAACATTGTACATAGGACAGTGACACCTTAGTCTCCTTCAAAGTAGGCATCTTGGCCTCTCACATAGTTCTCTCAGTCGCCATCAGCTGCCTCATCATATTTTCTTCAGTCTCATTGATGGTCTGAAATCTCTTCCCTTTCAAAGGTGATTGTAGTTTTGGGAAAAGCCAGAAGTCACAAGGCACCAAATCTGGGCTGTAGGGGGGCTGGGTTACCTGGATGATTTCACATTTCACCAAAAAACCCTGTATGAGACATGATGTATGAGTGGGTGTGTTGTCGTGATAAAACTGCCAATCACCAGTTGCCCATAACTGCAGCCTTCTGAATCATCTGAATAGTTTCTGTGGAGGAATGTTCGAGCTTAACACAAAATTGGATGCAGATTTGTCACTCTACTCACTCAGTTATTTTAATGAGACAGCCACACAGTATACATGCTCATTCGATGGTGTCTACCATCCTCACTGACTAGTACAGTGAAGTCATCATTGTTCACACATGCACATTCCAGTCCACTCTCCTTGGCTGCCGGGTTACATCGATGTCACACAAACTGTTCTCATTATATTAATAATGGCCGGACTTTTTCTGGGCAGACCTCCTATATCTGGCCTCTGAATTCCCTTCTCTGGTTCTGTATGTCTGTTCTTACGCCAGTGCCATGTGGTCTTGGTTACTGTAGTTTTATGTGGTAAGTATTAAAGTCCTTTTGCTAAATTTTGTATGAAATCTATTTTCCTGAACTATAGAAAGGCCAAATTGTTTAATATAGTTTTTCTAGCCCTGGCTGGTGTGGCTTAGTGGATTGAGTGCCAGCCTGCGAATCAGAGTCAGCAGTTCGATTCCCAGTCAGGGCACAAGCCTGGGTTTCGGGCCAGGTCCCTGGTTGGGGGCGCACGAGAGGGAACCACACATTGATGTTTCTCTCCCTCTCTTTCTCCCTCCCTTCCCCTCTCTAAAAATAAATTTTAAAAGTCTTTAAAAATTTTTTTTTAATGTATACTTTTTCTACCTTCATAGTTTTAGAGCTCCCTCTTCTGTTGCTTTCATGAAGTGTTCAAAAATAGGATTTCATTAAAAAATAGGATTTCGTGATTTCTGGAATCTGATTGTTTCTCTTTTGATTTTGAGGGACCATCTCTTTCTTTTACTTCTTGTGTCCATGTGCTACTCAATTTGAAATCTCTTCCCAGCAGTTTATAATACAAAGACACAAAAAGAAAACTAGCCCCTGGTTCTACTGTCTACATAACCCCTTTTGACAAATTTTAGAAACAGATAATGTACACATATATTTAGAATCCTCCAACAGTTAAGTAAAGTGAAAGTCTTTGCCCATTCTTGCAGGAAAAAAATAATACATTTACCAAAATTTTATTTATTTCTTTTTTCTTGTATTTATTTTTTAAATATAGTTTATTGATTATGCTATTACAGTTGTCCCATTTCCCCCCTTCACTCCCCTCCACCCTGCACACCCTCTCCCACCCACATTCCCCCCCTTTAGTTCATGTCCATGTGTCATAAGTTCTTTAGCTTCTACATTTCCCATACTATTCTTGCCCTCCCCCTGTCTATTTTCTACATACCATCTATGCTACTTATTCTCTGTACCTTTTCCCCCTCTCTCCTCCTTCCATTCCCCTGTTGCTAACCCTCCATGTGATCTCCATTTCTGTAGTTCTGTTCCTGTTCTAATTGTTTGCTTAGTTTGTTTTTGTTTTTGTTTTAGGTGTGGTTGTTAATAATTGTGAGTTTGCTGTCATTTTACTGTACATATTTTTTATTTTCTTTTTCTTAGATAAGTCCCTTTAACATTTCATATAATAAGGGCTTGGTGATGATGAACTCCTTTAACTTGACTTTATCTGAGAAGCACTTTATCTGCCCTTCCATTCTAAATGAAAGCTTTGCTGGATAGAGCAATCTGGGATGTAGGTCCTTGCCTTTCATGACTTGGAATACTTCTTTCCAGCCCCTTCTTGCCTGTAAGGTCTCTTTTAAGGAATCACCTGATAGTCTGATGGGAACTCCTTTGTAGGTAACTGTCTTTATCTCTTGCTGCTACTAGGATTCTCTCCTTCATTTTCACCTTGGTTAATGTAATTATGATGTGCCTTGGTGTGTTTGTCCTTGGGCCCAACTTCTTTGGGACTCTCTGAGCTTCCTGGACTTCCTGGAAGTCTATTTCCTTTGCCAGATTGGGGAAGTTCTCCCTTATTATTTGTTCAAACAAGTTTTCCACTTGTTGCTCTTCCTCTTCCCCTTCTGGTACCCCTATAATTTGGATGTTGGATTGTTTCAAGATGTCCTGGAGGTTCTTAGTCTCTCCTTATTTTTTTGAATTTTTGTTTCTTCATTCTTTTCTGTTTGGTTGTTTCTTTCTTTCTTCTGTTCCAATCCATTGATTTGAGTCCCAGTTTCCTTCCCATCACTATTGTTCCCTGTACATTTTCCTTTATTTCACTTAGCATAGCCTTCATTTTTTCATTTAATTTGCGACCAAATTCAACCAATTCTGTGAGCATCCTGATCACCAGTGCTTTGAACTGTGCATCTGATAGGTTGGCTATCTCTTCATCGCTTAGTCGTATTTGTTCTGGAGCTTTGATCTGTTCTTCCATTTGGGCCTTTTTTTTTTTTTTTTTGGTCTTGTCGTGCCTGTTACATAGTGAGGGGGTGAGGGGCGGAGCCTTAGATGTTCAACGGAGCGGGGCACCCCAGTCGCTGGGTTGTGACGCTGTATGTGGGGGCGAGGTCCGAGAGGGAACAATGGTGCTTGCTCCACTCTCTGCTGATTTCAGTCCCTTCCGCTGCTTCCCCCAAGCAAATTGGGCCCTTCTTGTGCTGATTCCTGTGGGGAGGGGGTTGTGTATGTTCCAGGACCCTGTGGGTCTCTCCAACGAACTCTCCTGTGAGGCTGGGAGTTTCTCCCTGCACCTCAACCCCCACAGGTGTTTTCAATCAGTGTTTTGAGGCGTTATTTCCTGGTGCTGGGATCCTGGGTTCCACTGTCTGTCTCACTCCCCAGTTTTGCCTGGTTTATCTGCACGTGAATGTGGGACCACCTAGTCCGCTAGCCACCTTGTGCGCCGTGCCTCTCCACAATCCTCCTGGGGTCTGCCAGCCGCTGCTTTGCCTCAAGTCCTCTCCACCCGGCTACCCAACTCCGCCCCTCCTACCTGTCTGGGTGATCTGGATGAATGTTTCTTCTTTAACTCCTTGTGGACTTGCATACAGTTCAATTTTCTGTCAGTATTGGTTGTTTTTTTGTTTCTAAATTTTTGTTGTCCTTTGGTTGTGTGAGGAGGCACAGTGTGTCAACCTGTGCCTCCATCTTGGCTGGAAGTCAATTTTATTGGAGAGCGGGGGAGGGAGGGAGAAATAGAAAGATTGATGTGTGAGAGATACATTGATTGGTTGCCTCTCACATGCCCCCAAGGCTCCCAAGTGGGGACCTGGCTTGTGTCCTGACAGAGTCGAACCAAATCGAACCAAACTGGTGATCAGTTTGCAGGCCGACCTTTCTGACCAGTTCATAGGTTGGCACTCCGCTGAGCCACACTATATTTTTAGAGAGGGGGGAGGGGAAGGGGGAGAGAGAGAGAGAGGGAGAGAAACATTGAGGCCATTGATTGATTGCCTGTAGTATGTTCCCTGGCCTGGGATCGAACCCGCAACCTAGGTATGTACCCTGACTGCCTAACTGGGAATTGAATCCACGACCTTTTGGTTTACGGGATGCTGCTCCAACCAACTGCACTATACCTCCTGCCAGAGCTCATTGGCGTTTCTTATATATGCCCTGACCAGGGATGGAACCTGCAACTTTGCTGTGTCAGGACAGTGCTCTAAGTTACTGAGCTATCTGGCTAGGGCCAAATAACCTCTATGCAGTGAGGTTACCCTGGTTATGTTCCCACTTCCCAGCTGTCCTTTGATCTGTTGCCTCTAGTTACACTGTTTCTAATTATGTATCAGGGACTCTGGTAACTGATACTTGGATTCTATGTATCTTTTTGTCATTTAGATGGTGTGATCAATGAGGATAGCAGTATAGTTTGCTTGTTTGTTTTTTTCCTGAACGGGTTTCATTACACAGAGGGCCAGGGGCTCAGTCCTTCTTGGCTGCTGCCTTCCTCATGGCTGGCTGCAAGGACATTGCTCAGCTCCTCTCCCTTCCTCTTGGCACGGATGTGCGTCCCCACCCTGTTCTTGATGAACTTCAGGGCCCTCTTGTCCTTAGAGACCTTGAGCAGCTCCGTGGCACGCAGCTCGTAGGGGACAAAGCCACACGCCTCTGAGATCAGGTCCCGCAGGAGCTTGGTGTGTGGGTGAGGTGCCCGCAGCAGCGGCTGTACCTTGGCTTGCTCACGATCTTTGTCACTCCGTGGTCCTTGTCGAGGCCCACGGCTGTGGGGCAGCGGAGACTCCTGGCTGCTGCTCCTCAGTGGCTGCTGCGGGGGAAGCCAGTTGGTTTGTTTTTTTAAATATATAGTAGTTCTCAAAAAATCTCTCCTGCTGACAGATGGCCTGAGGAGTACTGACGGTGCCGCTGGGGATTTGTGTTTGTTCCCTCCAGGGGAGCCAGGAAGTGGGACGGAAAGTGACACTTCTCCAGACTTCCACAATCAGGAGAATGAGCCCAACCAGGAGGACCCTGAGGATCTGGATGGATCTGTGCAGGGCGTGAAACCTCAGAAGGCTGCTTCTTCCACTTCCTCAGGGAGTCATCACAGCAGCCATAAAAAACGAAAGAATAAAAACCGGCACAGGTCAGTGGTAGGGAGCTCCTCCCGCACGCCCCCATTCCCCGCCCCCCGCCGCCTGCCCGGCCTGCCCCTGCCCCCCCAGAGCTTCTGTGACCGTGGCCATGTGGGGGCTTCACTAGAGTGAAAACTCTTCAGGGTCGGCTTGGTCCTTCTGTTGCTGTTCCGAAGCAGTTCTGTTCGTCCCGATGAAACAGACGAGTTGAGGAGCCGGTGGGCCTGTGCAGCCCATGCGGAAGGGCCGCCTTCTCCCTGCCCCTAGTGCAGAAGAATTTTATTTCACAAAAAATTAGTTTCGTGCAGTGAATTTGGAGTCCTTTTCGAGGTGGAAAAGGGAACTAGAAATGGAGCCTGTGTAACAGTATTTGAAAAGTGTCCCTAGTCCACGTTGGGAGGCTGCAGAGTAGGTTAGAGTCCTTTGCTCTTAATGCCGATCCCTGCCTACCCGTGTTTGCTTACGCATGGAGAGAACTGATCTGACGTGCGTTATTTTCTTTCTAAATACGCTTTTTTAATTGCATGTGGTATCTCTGTTTTTGTGTGTCTCTGCAAAATGCTGATTTCAGATATCAGAGGAACAATGTACAGTCTGAGCTGTGAGAGCACCTTCCTAGATAACGTGTGTCGCTGTGCTTTTTTGCAGTGCGCAGTGAGATAGGAATGACATCAGTGGACAGAGAGGTCAGGAGTCGCCCAGAGAGGGTTTTAGCATTCACTCTGCTTGGGGTTTGTACGATCATGCGAGGCCACTTATCTCAGGTCACCGGAAATTACGCAGCTGCCTTCAGAGAGGGGAACGCTGTTCCCAGTGTGAGGGGGCTTGGCCTGGCCGCAGACACTTTGGGAGGCCTGGAAGGCAGGTGGGCCTGTGTGGGCACTTCTCCGGCTCCCGCAGGAGCCTGCGTGTGAGGAGATGCACGGTGTTCTGCAGGGGGTGGGTGGCGCTCCCTGCCGGCCAGTCTGCCTCTGGATCGGGTCGCTTTGCACACTGGTAGGCTTTTCCTTCCTGCACCCAAGGTGCTACATTGTTCTGTACAAGGTGCTCTGTGGGTGCGGCACAAGGGAATAATGTAGAATTAATGCTACTGGTTTAAGCCTCTTTGGAATCCGTTGATTCTTTCCTTCTGGTAAGAGTTTTTCTTGGTGGTGGTGGTGGTGGTTTTAGACTGCAGAAATAGTATTTCCTCCAAGTTGTGGCTGAGGACTGCCAGCTTAGCGTTTTTCTGCAAACCACAGATCACCAGGCCGATCTCACGAGTGCAGTAAGAAATAGCACAAATGACTTATCTGTTCTTTTTGTGAGGCTGCTTGTCTGATCGCTGGGACAGGGCCGATGCCGGCTTATCACAAAGAGCAGCAGAGAGCCACGCTCTTAAAAATATTTTTCAAAATTGTCGAGATAATTAAATGTCATGCCCTGTGTTGCTTTTATTAAATGCGCTCCAGTGTCATTTTGTAATAGTAATGATGCTTTTCCTATTTCAGCCCAGAGTAGGGAACATTCCACTAACGTTTCTGGGACATGTTTTTGAATTACTGATGCCAACAGACACTCTCTAGGTAGCTCTTGTTTATTTCAGGTAGTACCTCATTTCCCTTTGTGACACGGTTACTGATAAAATGGGATTAGGCATTGAATTTGACCTCTTGCGGGTTCCTAGTAGATTTCTGTAGGGACTGCACTCCTTTCTACCCTTTTTTCTCCTGGCCCTGGAAGCTAACTCCTTCCAGAAAAATACTAGGATTTATGAAGATCTTTGTATTGTTTTCACAAATTGTGTTTTCACAAACAGTGTTTTCTTTTTGGGAAGCAGGATCCTGTGACCACTCCCCTGGTGTAATCTGGCTGAGCCTGCCCCAGGGCAGCGGAGCAGAGCTGATCTACCTCCTTTCTGGGGAAAGCAGGTGGGGTGTGCCCAGCTGGCAGCCCAGTGGCCAGTTAAGGCTCTCAGACCCCTGCCCTGTTTGGTCAGGAAGTGCATCTGTCCCGGCCCCTGCCCTGGACTGCTGTCTGAGTGAGGGTGGCAGCATGGGGCCGGGGTGCAGCACTCCGTATGCGTTTGTGAGCTTGCAACCACGTGACGCTGTTCCTCCTGCAGCGGCCACACCCCATGTGGCCGGATAAAGTCAGCAGTGAATTACTCCCACAGGTGTCTGAGCACCTGCTGTGTGCCTGGCATTGTTTAGTGGGGGGTGGGGCAAAATGGAAATAAATGTGGTACTGTAGCAAAAAGGAATAACTTTTGAATTTGTCCTTTTCAGGAATATGAAAATTTATCAGATAATTTTTAGCATTCATGAATGATCACACTGTTCAGAATTTTTATTTTTTACATGCTATCTGAACAAGTTTCAGTATCTTTGAAGAGAAAACATTGAAATAACAACTTACAGCCGCTCTTTTAGGTTTTTATTACCATGTCAAACTCCAGGACTCCTCTGGGTTGTTTGTGAAGTTGTCATGAGGTGGGTGCTGTCTGCTTTGTGAACAAAGTTATGTGATGCTGAGAGCTAAGTTTTTGATAGTTCCTGGTTTGTACACGTACTTTATACTCTCTCCCAAGTGGCCTGGGTGCAGCTGTGCATCAGGGGTGTGGAGGCGCAGCTCTCTTCCCTCTCTGCTCTTGCACACGTTGGCTGGGAGGGAAAGACAGCCGTTGGCATGTTGTGCTACCACCTGTGTGCAGTCGCAGAGGCTGGAGCCAGCCGGGAGCCGGGGTCATGCATGGGGCTGGCGTGGGCTCCGGAGGCCTCTGCCCAGACCCTGGTCTGTGAGCCTGGCAGCCCCACGTGGCTCTCTCCTCGGATGGCTGCCCTCCGGGTCCCTGAGCCCTGGGTGCTTGTGGGTGTCAACTTCCCTTTGCTTTCATAGGGGTGCAGCCGACGCGGGTGTCCCCTAACTGCAGCCCTGGCGTAAACAGCTAACCGCCGTCACCAGTTCAGGCTCCACAGTTTCTGGAACAAGACTCACCTATCGCTGCAGTGCATTCATTCGACTCCTGGCTTCTAGAGTGAATGCTGTAGAAAAGGAGGACCACATTTAGAACATATAACTTGTTTAGAACATATAACTTGAGTTAAAAGTTGCAAAATGTTTTTTTAAATGTATGTTTTTATCTTTTGTTTTGCCGAGTTGTTAGTACTGTCTTCAAAGCACCTTTCATTGTATGACTAAACCCTTCTTTCTCTGTTTCTCCTAATGCTCTAATTATATTTGTCATCACTGTTAAATGTTTCCCAACCTCTAACTCTGGGTCTGGCAGCTGGTGGAGGCCTGCAGGTACTTAGTTTTCTAATGAAGTAACTCTTCCTTTCATAGTCTGTTCTTCTGATACGAAAACCATTGAGGGAAGGGAGTCTCCCAACCACAGAACCTTTGATGCTTTGATGTTTGAAAACTTTATGGCTTAAGATTCTTAAAGCTGATTTTGTTTCTATAAATCTTGCTACGGTGGCTAATTGACTAATTTATTCAATTAGTATATTAATTTCTATTGCTTTCTTCCTTTCAAATGCTGCCCCTCAGCCCGTCTGGCATGTTTGATTATGACTTTGAGTAAGTTTGATTTGAATTAGTATTTGTGCTGTGTTGTTTAGTGTGTAGAGACCAATATGCCTTTTTGAGACCTTTCTAACCCATAGTTTATCTGTTTAATTGTAGGTATGTATATTAGGTTAGGCTGGGAAGTTTTTTTTAAAAACAGAAAAACGTGATGGAGGTAACATTTTATTTAATAACTTCAGCAAAATTAAGTAAACTTCACTTTTATGCACTTTAATTGCTTTTAAAATAGATAACTTTTACTTTAATTCATATTTAAATTGATTTTCTGGCTTTGCTTCATAAGGAGGTTGATAGTTTAAGATCTTATTTTGCTTTGGAAAGATTTAAAAACTGAAATTTGTGTAATTTCTGCTGTGTTTCACGCCCAGAAATGCAAACTCCTAGTCTCCTTCCTGTCCCGAGTCGCTGTGTGGCCAGTGCTCACCAGCGACGCAGCTGCAGAGCTAACACAGTAACACAGAGCATGCCCTCCCAGTTCAGTCTCTTTAACACGCAATTTTGGAATGATTTTTAAAAGTTGTATGGCTTTCATAACTGCTCTGTATTTCTTTTTGAGTCATCTAAGTTTGCCTTATGGCAAGAGTATCTGCTCATGTTTTTAAATACTTGCTTAATAATATCTGGATAAACACCTAAGTATGACATAGTCTAATGAAGAATGTGGATTTTACTTAACCAAATAGTCTTTGTTATAGCTTGTGCCCTATTCAGTAGCTGATTCTTGGATTCTTTTTCTGTAAATTAAAAGGCAAATGTTTTTATTTTTCCCGCACAGGATTGATCTGAAGTTAAACAAAAAACCACGAGCTGTAAGTATCAGCCAGACCGTTTCAGAGAGGCTGGGAGTTTTGTGGATGATGAAAGAGTGACGAGAAAACCGTCTTCAGAACCTGAGTGTCCCTCATCTGGGATCACAACTCAAGTTTCAAAATCTGGGATGTCAGTCTGTATACACTTCCATTGTTAGGTGTTATTTAGTTTTTTTTATATTGGAGAGAGGAAGGAGTCCCACATTTTTACTGAAGAAAACTTCCCTTCGATTAACTAATGAATTGTTAATATTAGCTTTCTGTTTCTGACTGGCGAGCTCAGGATGTCTAATGATTAGGGCAGACTTGGTGTTTCAGTCCCTTTGTAGACCCAGAGGACAGGTCATTTTCAGATGGGGAACACTGTGCATCACATTTGAAACAGAATCTTTGGCTACAGGATAATCGATCCCCTAACAGGGTTGTTTGTGAGGTTTTTTTTTTTAAAGATTCCAACCAGTATTCTGCTGAGCATGAATTGGGACTTCCTTTTTCTCTCTCTAGGACTATTAGAAGACTCACTAGTGCAGAAGCTTCCAGGCTGTAAGCCCCGCCTCCCTGCTCCGACCTCGCAGAGACACACCTCCCCTGCCCGCGTGCGTGTGCGTGGCCGTCCCGCTCTGCTCTCCCAGACCCAGCGCCTGTGACTCTGAGTCGTTCGTCCTGAAACGTGGTGACAAGTCCTGTCCGTAAGGCCACATTGGATCATTCACGTTGTGTCATTTTCAGTAACAGAACTGCAGGAAGACCGTGGCGTGGTTATGGTCCCGGCAAGTTGCTAACTGAGTCTCTCCCTTCTCGGAACGAACGTCTGCCCCGGAGATCGATCCGCCGGCCTCAGCTCCCTCCGTGGTCCCCGTCGGGAAACGGCCTCTTTGGTTTTACGCTGGAAGTAGGGCAGCGGTCGCGGTTCAGACGGAGGCTATAAACACCGGGCATTTTCTTATTTCGTTTGTGTTTTATCATTTTTCTATTGTTGTTTTTACCATTTCACTTTCTTTTGGGACTTTTTGTAATGACTTTGTACAGCGCATACCTTCCTGCTGACATATCTAACAGTCTGTTTCGCACAGTTGCCAATGTCCTTGAACTGAAAGTAGTCTGGTTTGCCGTAAATAAAATGGGGAACTCGGCTCTTTGGGTTTGCGCAGGGGAAAGGTAAAGTGTTTATTTAACAATCACCTCCCTTAAACCTTTCTGAATTGGAAGCAGTTTCCATGTTGAAGGAATAGAAAAAAACTGAAAAACATAAGTTTTAATCAGTCCTTTTAAAATATTTTTATTCTTTTATATAAATAAAGTATCACAGGGTTTGATTTCTCATGCTTTACTTTTAAACCTGAGGGGTTTTTTTCACTTATTTATTCGTATCATGCCTTATGGAAATTTTTTTCTCCATCTTATCTCTCTTTGCTGGTATTGCCTGATTAAATAGTGCTTAAAAATCACTAAGGCATATGGAAAGGCTGGAAGTTGCACCCACAGCTGATAACACGCGGAGTTCTTGAGCAGAGGGAAAGACAGGATCAGTGAGAGCCAGCAGCACCCACCGCCCCTGGCCGTGTGGAAGAGCCGGGGAACTTGCTGATAATTGTTACCAGCCTCTGGAGTGGTGGTGCTCTGCCGCAGCTGCACATTGGAATCACCCGGGAAGCTTAAAAAAAATACTGATGCCTGGGTCCCACCCCCAGAGACTCTGGGCCAGGGTATAGCCTGGTGATGGGGATTTCCTTTCAAAGACTCCCTGGGATTCTGATAGGAAGCCAAGTCAGGAATTACTGCGCTGGGAGGCTGGCCAGTGCAGTTTGAACCCTGTGTTGTGAATCAGTGTAAGGGATGAGATTTGGGGGCCTGGCCTTTCCTCTGACTCTATTTAGTCATAGTCCTTATGCCTATATCTCTGTTAGAAAAACATGTTCCATTTGTGATAATATTGGTAGAGCTGAATGTGGGTGGCGTTGATTATCAAAACAATTCTACCTTGTCTGTGCAAAAGCTTTCACTCTTGTTCTTAAATAAACCTTTTCTTTTGCTTTTTTTTTTATTTTTTTGGACTCTGTGGCTATCTAGATGTCTTTGGCTATATCTTTGGTAGCAGAACTCTAATGTCAGGGTTTTTAAGGAAATAGTTTCTTATGTTTAGGTTGTTCCTTTACAAAATGACAAACTAAAACAGTGGAAACCAGAAGCATTCTGCTCCCTTTGTCAGTGCGTCTTCTTTCCGGGACGGTCGGGGGAAGGCCGCAGGTTTCTTGAACTCCGAGGAAAGCACACGGCAAACCCGAAAACCTCTCTCTCATAGTCTGATGCTGGCTGGAGGTACAGTAGGACTGCGCTTAAAAAGCTGTGTCCCTCAGGGGCATGTCTGTGTGTGTGGATGCGCCCGTGTGTGTACGATCACACAGCCAGGCTGCTTGCTCTGTGCTTGCTTTGTCCATGAAAGTTTACCATTGAGTAGGGGAACCTCCCAGCATGTCTGTAAATTGGCTGGGCGTACTAGAGATTCTCAAGTTTTAAGAGACTGCATAGGTTCCCTACCTTGGGGTGGTTTAGAAAAAAGGCACCACAGGTTACCGGTATACCACGCTTGCGATACTCGTAACCTCAGTTATAGACTCCTGTATTTTGCCATGTGCAGTGCACTCCCATGTGTAATATACACCCATGTTTTTGGCCCAAACTTTCAGGGGAAAAAACTTTTGTTTTCATTTTTTTTAAAGATTTTACTTATTTATTTTTTAGAGAGAGGGGAAGGGAAGGAAAAAGAGAGGGAAAGAAATATCAGTGTGTTTGATGTTTGTGGTTACCCCTTACATGCCCCTAACTGGGGACCTGGCCCGAAACCCAGGCATGTGCCCTGACTGAGAATCAAACCAGCGACCCTTTGGTTCACAGGCCTGGGCTCAATCTACTGAGCTACACCAGCCAGGGCCCTTGTTTTATTTTTGTAATTTGGTTATTTATTTATTTATTTATAGTCAGGTAGTTGTTTTTTGTATTATAAGGGAATTTTATATATTTTATATTATGAAGGCATAAATAAAAATTAAAAGCATTTATATAAATACAGAATTAGTACAACCTACATAAAATGTGCACCTTTATTTTTCCCTCAGAAATTTGGGCAAAAAAGTACATGTTATACACGGCAAAATAAGGTACATTTGCCTGACTTCAAAGATAATGACTTTGATCAAGTCACTGCTCCAAAGAACAAAGGTGTGAACACAGGGGTGCGTTTGTTTAGGTGGCAAATGCCCGCACGGTTGCTGCGTGTCACAGTTGGTGGAGGCGGTCTGGCTGGGCGGCGGCCTGTTCTGTCCCATCTTAGCAGTCCCCTGACCTGGGGTGGCTGGCTGCCAGGACCACCGAGAAGGTGCTTCCTTCCCAGCCTGCCTTCAGGTTACTAGGGTTGGAACAGGACTTGGCTGCAGGTTTTAGGGACAGAAAGTGAATTGGTTTAAAGAGCAAAAGGGGGAATGGGAGGGCCAAGGGCAGTCATACTAGTTGATTTCTGCCATCTGGGTAAATTCGGTTTTCTGTTCTTTAGCCGTCTCATCTCTAAGATGGGAGTAGGTGGTCCTTTGCTCCTTTTGGTAGTTATAAGACATTTTCAAAAGCCAGGTGCTTTGTAGTTACATCTCATGTCTTGTTCTGGTAGGGCGGTGTTTGTACAAAGCTTCCTGGGGAGTTGCAAGTATCATCTTCCAGGGAGTGGAGGAAATCGCTTATTGAAAGTCAAAACCAAACACCCTCAGACCCTCCAAGTTGTCCACAGCAACTTTGCAGGAACAGCCCACAAAAATAAAAGGTTGGAAGCTTCCCTGGCTGGTGTGGCTCAGTGGATTGAGCACTGGCCTGCGAACCACAGGGTCACTTGTTTGATTCCCAGTCAGGACACATGCCTGGGTTATGGACCAGGTCAGGTCCCCAGTAGGGGGTGTGGGAGAGGCAACCACACTGATATTTCCCTCTTTCTCCCTTCCCCTCTGTTATGTGTGGGACTAGGGGAGGGACTGAAAGGAAGCATCTTGAATTTAGACAGGACCCAGTGTGAACTTCTGAAATCTGGTATACATATCTTGGGGCTCTCGGGGCTCTCCAGAGTTCTTTAAGGAAGCACTACACTAAAAACTCACACCTGAAGCCCCACTGCGTGGAGAGCAGAGCACGTGGTTTGCACGCATTTCCTTCTCCCTGGTCGTGTGTTCGGTGCCTGAGAAGGTGCCGTGCACAGAAGATGCAAAGGTAATGGGAAGAAGGGATTGGGCCCTTTTCCTCTGTTGATCGAAATTAATGCTGTCGTGTCTGAATCTTACAAGCCCTAAGCTTCATGCTTTGCCAAGTGTTCTCTTTGAAAACCTGCTCCTGTGGAGGAACGGCTCTCATTGCTGAGACGGGCTGTGGCGGAGGCGGTTCTGGTCCTCACAGGGAAGGGCAGTCGTCCCTAAGGGGCAGGGTGTGGAGGCGGCTGTTGAGGTGGGGAGCAGACATATCAGACCTTTGATGTACATTTAATTTCTCTGTGTTACAAGATATACTCAAATCTTAGTTTATTAGTACAGGTAGATGATTTATTTATAAACAAACTTTAGGTCGAACCACAGGCAATTGCTGATGTTCAACCATTTTGATCTTCAAAAATGGTACTTGTCACAGATAAACAACATTCAGGGGTGCCAACCTTTTGGTGTCTCTGGGCCACACTGGAAGAAGAAGAGTTGTCTTGGGCCACATGTTAAATGCATTGCAACACATAGTCACAAAAGAACCCCGTAATGTTTTAAGTAAATTTACAGTTTTGTGTTGGGCCGCATGCACAGCCACCCTGGGCTGAGTGCGGCCGGTGAGCCGCAGGTTGGACACCCCCGCAGGGTGGGAGTGCGTGCTCTGCAAGTTTGTGCTGTCTGTGCACAAGAATGCACTTCGGAGACCCTGCCCCATGCAGCCCTCCCCGCACCCCCACCCCACACTCATGACTTAATTCTATCCTGCAAGGGGGCTTTAAAATATTTAATCCGAATAAGTAACACATGCAAATGGCATATTCAAATGATACTCAAGTGAGGTCAATGCAAAGTCAGTCTACCTGCCCCTCTGCTATGCACTGCCCTCCCCAGAGACAGTTTCTTGTGCCCCCAACAGAGGGACTCTGCACATACACATGTGAGCAGCACATATGCGTCTCTTACAAAGTGTTAGTGCACGACACACTGTCGTGTCCTTGCTTTTCCCTGTGGTCTGCCTCGCTGAGAAAGTGTTCTATCTGCAGCTGCCTCATTTCTATTGGCTCTTTCCTATTGCACTGTGCACAGAATACCAGAACTTATTTAACTAGTCCTGTGTTGGTGGTGTTAAAGTTGTTTCCCATATTTTTTGCAAGTAAAATGCCTGCAGGATAGGGTCTTAGCAGTGAGATTGCTGAGCCAAAGGGTAAGTCAGCACACGTGGATCTCATTGTGACTTTACCTTCCAGATCGCTTAAATAGAATGAATACTTGTATTTTTTTTTCTCCTTGTACTTACTTTCTTATTCCTCTAGTTCCTGAGAATTTGACTTGGGGAATTTGTTACCCAGAACTGTTGGGAGATTCTGGAACTTTAAACTTTGTAGGGGGCACAACTGTGGCCTCTGGTGTTGCTTTCCAGGCTGTAGTTGCAGATGCCATTAAGAATTCCCTGCTTGCCCTGGCTGGTGTGGCTCAGTGGATTGAGTGCTGGCCTGTGAATCAGAGTCACCCGTTTGATTCCTGGTCAGGGCACAATGCCTGGGTTGTGGGGCCAGGTGCCTGGCTCTGGGGGCATGCCAGGGGCAACTAGTTGATGTTTCTGTCAGATATTGATGTTTCTTTCTCCCTTCCCCTCTCTCTACGTAAATAAAAAAAAAAAAACTCTTAAAAAAGTAAAAAAAAAATCCTTGCTGAAGATCCTGTCTGGAGGCCCTTCGCTCAGGTGTTGAGGCGGTGCTGGTGGCTTAGGTAGTCAAGCCGGCCACCTGCTCCACAGGCAGTCATACCAGGAGGCGCCGGCAGGTGGCAGGCAGAGCACCACCAGTGGCCTTGGCCTCCGTGAGCCTCCTCTCTGGAGCCCAGCCAGAATCTGAGCCTTCTGACCCTTTCCCGGTGACCTGCCCTCCCAGCAACGTGCCCACTCAGCAGGGGTGGGGTGGGGTTGCCTGATCCTTTTCTCCCACCTAGTTTTGTAGTCATCTCCTAAATGAGTGAGCAGTTTAAAAATCACAGCAGCTGCCTTGAGATGAGCTTCAGGAGGCCACACCCCAGGGTGACAGCCTGGTGCCTACTCCCCCTCCGGGAACTTGCTAGAAGGATTTACATACCACGGCCTGGGATAGCTTGGGTGTTCTTAATTGTAGGGCCCTACTTCCTGTCTCTTTCAGCCAAATCTCCCACACCCTTCCCATGAATTGAGAGGTCCTCAGAAGAGGCTCTTACTCACCACCCTCTGCTCCACCCACTCTGCTGTGCTCTAGGGGTAAAAAGAGCCAGGGATTTGAGACGCCCTGGGACAAAAGTGCTAATCCTTGGCCTGCCTTCTTTGGGGGCATTAGCCCCCCTGGGGACCAGCTGGGCCCAGGGCTCAGACTTAGGGCAACCCCCCAACCCCACCATTGAATCCCAGTTTCTCCTGCTTACTCACTCTGTCTTAGACAGAGACGGCCCAGCACCTCCTCCAGGCAGGGGTCTTTCCCTTCTGTGCCCAGCTCCGGCTTTGCCAGGAGACGTGGGAGAGAGCTGGGAGGACACACAACTTGGCCGGTGGGAAAAGGGAGGAAGTGGCAGCGGCATTGGTGAGTGGTGGCCTTTTCCCAGCCACTCCTCCCCCGCCCGCCCCCCCCCCCCCGCCCCCGCAGGAGACTAGCCATATTTGGGGTGTTAGCAGCATTGGGGGGCCCTGGGAGAAGTGCTCCCCTGGAGCCCCAGAGCTTCCCCACTCCTAGTTTAGGTCCCCAAATCTTTAGGGACAGCTGGGTTTTTTTTCAAGCTGGTGAAGTGATACGGAGACAGAGTGGGTGGGGGTATTCAG